ATCCTACAATTATGTCCATGTAATCTCATAAATACAAACAAAAAGTACATTGGACTGGAACTTCAAAGTTAACATGCAGCTCAATCCGCTCCTAATCAATCCACTTATAGACAATTTAAACATCACACATTCTGACACCAAAATCTTAAACCAAAATAATAGCATCGAGAATTCTGAACAATCTATGCTTATTCTCACAGCAACTTTTAGTTTAATAATTTTGATACTTACAATTGTAACAGTTATTGTTATTTGGGTCCATTTAAAATCAAAACATGTTACGGTACCAGTTAACATCGAACAATCAAATATTCCGGCGAAACGCCCGCTTTTAAGGAAAACAGTTCCGCAAAGCTCAACTGATACAATTTAAACTTTTATTGAATTTAACTATACAAAGTTCAGTTCTTTATTCATTTTATTATTTAGACCATTTTATTTTCTTCATTACAAATTATTAGCAAAATCAGTTCTTCAAATTATCTTTATGTATTTTACGATCCTATTTTGGCCAATTGGCAGAATATGGCATACGCAAACCAGAGGCAACACCAGGTACGCCGGGTACATCTCTTTGCCCGTCATGTCGATGTCCAGAGTTTTGACGTTCAGGATTACTTCCTTCGCTGGCCCTGTCTGTTTTCTCAGGAACATTAAACAACCAGAAGCCGTCCATATCTATATACCGGCTCATATCCAATCTGGTTGTCTTATCTCTTTAATACTTCAACAATTTAGTATTATCAATGGTATTCGAATGAGCTTGTGATCGGATGAACTGTTTAATTCCATTTTACAACTGACAACCCCTTCTTTGAACGCTCTGCAGCCTAGAATAAGATCACAGACTGTCTCTTTGGCACCAACAACGTAATTCGGTTGAAAAGGATTCAAAACATACATTTCGGTTAGGTTGCAGAAAGTCATCACACTTAAACCTTTCTTTTTCTTGTAGTGGCTTAAACACTCTTTTTTGACCAAGACGGGTGGTAAGCATTGAAATCACCAACAAATAATTTAAGAACATCTGAACCCATTTTTGTTTTAATAAGCGCAGCAATGAATTTCAAGTCCTTAGTTAAATCTTCAACAGAATACTTAGCAACGTTAGAAGAGAAGTAAACGTAAATGATTGCTAGTTTTATATTGTTCCAGCGAGCTTTAACACAAGTAACGGTGGAGAGTTCCAAACAGCACTTTGAAATAAACTGAAAACTTTCACTATCAAAACAAGCTATTGCAGCAGCATTAGGTTGTTTAGCCGTCACAATGGAAACTTTAGGCACTGTATAATCCAAATCCTCGGGGGTCAGCTCGTTAAAAGCGGTAAAATCTGGTTTTTCATCAGCACTTATTTTCATAAGGTTCTTGGTGGCTGCTTTAGTCTGCTTACAAATGCCAAAAATAAAATCTAAATTACTACAAAAATTATTCATAATAAACGAGCTATTCTACTGTATGTTCTACCAACAAGATTTAAACATTAACTGACCTTATAACTTTGTCCGTTAACTGACAAATGCATTTGACCACAAACCCTTTCTTTCAGTACTACAGTGCGCATAATCATCTGCGCGCTAACTCAACACATATTCATATGCTCATTTTACTTCCAATGCCTTGATAATGACTTGATATTTATGTATTTCTTAATTCTAACTCACTTTACTCCCAATGACTTGATTATGACTTGATGTTTATGTATTTCTTTATTCTAACTCACTTTAATTCCAATTTTTACTACTTCTCTTTTCACAAAAAAAGCAAACAAATTGTTAGTCTTAAATAACACGATACAAGATTTTAATCAAAATCAATTTTATTGTTAAAAATGGGTCAAGAAATCAAAAGTACATTTCATTGTTTTCCATACGCCTTCGGTCGACCAGCCTTTGGATTATTCAGCCTGCCATCTGGTGGTTGTTCGTACGGTAGGGCCCCACGACATTTTTAGAACAATGTTTGTTGCATATGTGATTGGGTGCCCCTTCTTCGGAACATGTTTTTGTTTCATGGCGTATTCCATTGGAGCGGTCGTAGAAACCACGGTTACAAAAACGACAGGTATATTCACGAGGATTTTTGACTGCTTTCCAAGCTCGTGTCAATGACAAATCTTCCTTAGTTAAGTCATAAGGCATTTCCTTATCGTATACACTGTCATGCAGTTTTATCAATGAATTTTCCCAAACAGCAACGGCCACGCGGATCCTTTTGCCGTTTTCCATTATGTGGCCTTCCCGTAAACACTCCTTCAAAGTATGATCACCATCTTTGGCGTTACCACTGGCTTTCATCACTCTTTCCACCGTTGTTGTTGTTCTTGTAGTTGGAGGCATTATTTTGTTGATTAATAATACTTGAAGTTGATACAATAGACAAAAAGAAAAAGAGAATAGTAAAAATATCACTAAGACAATACAATACAAGATGTTTACTCGGAATAAAGCTGAAACTGTGGTCAGTTTCTTTTTTTTGTGGCCGGCATATTGTTGCCCTCAACGAGGACTCATTGTACTCAACGAGGACTCACGCCTCTTGGTTGTAAGGAAATAGCCTCATTTTGAGTCAGTGGTGACCGAACCGTCTGTAACTCTTGATGTTTTCTTGTTTTGAAGTAAACCTTTATTCTTACTGACTCATCTTATTATTTTAGTCCGTGACAATATCTATTTTCCGTTACTGTAGCGTCAAAGAAATAGGGTCCGACATAACTCAAACTGTTACATATCAACGAATAATCAACATAAATATACTGCATCAAGGTAATGACAAAGATAGTAATTGCAACGAATTTAAGTATAATTACACAGGTTTCAACCAATCCATTTCAGACCAAGTTCATTTAATAATAATTTTAGCATATCTAAGCTAACCAATTGCTGTTGATGAAGTAAATTTGACCTGTGTTAGATTGAACCTTTAGATCTTTAACTTTAACCTCAGATACATTAACGGGTCATCGGGTTTTAAGGTGATGTCATTGCATTCACAATGTTATGATCATAAATTATGATAATTAACTAAGGTTCTGTTTATTCTTAGACTTATCTAATATATAAAGAGAGAAAAATTGTTTTCGTTCATTAGCTCTCTTGATTTCGTTCAACCAAAATGATTTCAGTTTCATCAACTGTGAACGATATTTTCAATGATGATACCATTGATTTCGATCCCATTGTGAATTCATCTTCATCTCTGCCTCTAAATCTCCAAAAGTATGTGGAAGGTTTTTTAGCTGATTCGACAGTTGAATGGAGCGAAGATCCAGTTATCATTGATATGGAGCCTGCAGCCCCTATTGAAGGTAATTCAAATGCTGAAATGTTGAATGCTCAAGACAGAAAACTAAATATTTTAATTAATATAACTAATTTAAACATGATTGTAGCTACAGTAAAACCTCTCAAAGGTTGTGAGAAACTGAACTCCCCCATCTAGCGGATTTGACGTTTTACCCCGCTTTTGCAACGAGTTGCACAAACAATATCGCTAGGGGCAGGACCGCTCACAACCTTTGAGAGTTAGCCTAATGGGTTAACTCCAACGGCGATAAGACTGCTAACTTTCATATGTTGTGTTCTGCATCTTGGGGTTAGCGTTCGAATCTCGTCGAAGTCCTTAGGTCGGGCAGACCCTCTCAAGCTTACCCAGAGCATAAGCCCTCTGGAAACCCTCTCTACCCTACCCTGGATTCGTCAAACTAACAAATGTGTAACCAGCGCAAAAAGCTGGTGCGGTCCCTGTCGGGCCGGTCCAAAAACCGAAAATGAGAGTACAACCTTTGAGAGGTTTTACTGTAACTTGCAAAACGAAAAAAAATTCGTTCAAAAATTTGTTGTCTATGCAACCAACTTGTTTGGTAACTAATTACATTGTTGATACGCAAGGTAATGCTTGGGTTCAAATTGAAAAAATAAAACAAATTTGATGAAAAAGTTTTGTTCATTTGCTTATTTATACTCGTGAAACATCTCTAGCTAAACCGGTTTGGGTAGTGAGCCAGAGATGGTAGTTTCTTACTACTGTTATTTAATAGCTACCTTGCTAAGTTCCTCGCTTTTAGTTTTTTCTTGGCCCGGGTCACTTTCTGAGTAATTATAAAAAATAGTTGAAATACATGTATTGTGTTAAAAATAGAAAATGATGAAAATACAAAACGCACCTTGGGTGTTTTATGTAATTTCTTATAGTATCTGTTGAGCGACTATCATTCATGTGAATGCATGGATAAAAATCCATCGACAATCTGTAGTGCTCCGGTTGACGAGATTGAGCTAAAGAACCCAATCATATTTTAGCGCTGTAATTGTTTTACTGCTTAATTGACATTGAAAACATGTCAACATAATAAAAACGTCTTCAAACACTACTTTGACACTAACTTCATTCTGGATAGTTCTAACATGGTTGATTAGTTAATAGTTAATGTGTTAATAATTGTCAATTGTGATTGTCTTTGAATCATCTTAAACAGCAGTAAATGTTAAATTGTTGTTAAATCATTTTTATCTTGAGTAACATCTTGTAGACATGAAATGTTTCCGCGTTTTTGTCATTCTGACATTATTTTACTTTGCATTTGGCTTTTCTCAATGTCACTCGACAGTAATTCACATTATGATTTAATTGTGTCAATTTATTCAAATTCAATATCAATTATAACGAAAGATTCAATGGTTTTCAAAGGAACAAGTTCATTCAAATGACTGATTGTTTACTGCTGAAGTTGTTGTTTTTTGTCTGTTTTACCGATACATCTGATCAATTGGATCGGTAAAGGGAATATTTGTGGTTAATTTAGTTTGCAAATTATGCCAATCGATCATGTTTACCAGCAAAAGTCTGGTGAAAAACAAAGAACAATTTGTCACGATTCAGCTTAATTTATGTTAAAAGGTTGAACGTAATATGGAAAATTAATTATTACCATAAAAAAGAAGGCATTTTTATTAGCTGTTGATTAAACAAGAAATAAAGTTAACATATAATCATGAAGGTAGTACTAGCTAGCGAATCTAATAGTTGATTCATGAGAAATTGATTATCTACGTTTTACAATTTGGACGCGTAAAGAAAAAACTTCGTCCAAAACCAAGGCATTGTAAACATCTGGTGTCTAATCAAATGACAGTAAAACATTTTTTAGAATTACGTTAATTAAGTTGATTTGAGTTGACTAAATTTAACTCTTCTGTCAAATAGCTTTTAATTTGTGCTCATTCAAAAATGGATTTCAGTCCACAAAAGCTCAATGTGCACTTCAGAAAAGTAAGTAATCTTGTTTTACAAATCAAAATTTGCTTAATGAAAGTGTTAACCCAGTGTTAATCCTAACCCAATAGATAAATTTAAATAGTAATCCCATCTGCGTGATTATCATGACTTTGAAAAATCTTATTTTTCTTATGAGTAAAGGCTTTCTGTACTCTAGAATCAGTCGATTTCATGTGTGATAACCGCTTATATTACTTTATTAATACTTGATGTTTAAATAAGTAGATGTTGATCCGATACGGCTAAACATGTACATTTTATTTTCCATCATGAGTTGGTCGCCTGACAATGAATGACATTAAATGTCAATTCATCACAGTGAAATATCAAACAATCAAAACTTACATAAGTATAACCAGCTAATGTAGTTGTTAAGTAATCAGCAATTTGTTTAATCTTTGTAGGATAAAGACATAATTGACTGTGTCAATATGAATTTACTTTAATTTTATGTCCAAGTCTATTAGTCCAAGTCGCATTTTTCAACTTTTGGTTTAGGTTAAATCAAATTTATAGTTCCTTTACTCTTTGGGTTAAATGAAGCAAATATGAATAATCTTGTACCAAATCCATAAAACTGTGAGATTCTTCATGTTGATTAAATGTTTTTTATGAGGCAATTGAATTAACTCTAATTTTTAAACAGCAAGAATCTCGAGCAAAAATTGGCTTCCAACCAAACCATCTTGATAAGAGTGAACCGGAGAAGAAGGGTTTATCGGTTCTGACAACGATTCTGTTTGTAGCTGGTGAAAATGCTGGTGTTGGTATATTGGCTTTACCGTATGCACTCAATGCTACTGGGTGGTTTGGGATTCCTTTAATGGTGATGATTTGTATTGATTCTACTATTGCTGCTAGCTTGATTGGTTCATGTTGGCTAATTTTAGAGGAGCGTTGGCCTGAATACAGGGAGGTTTGTCGTAATCCATATCCAGAAATAGGTAGAAGGGCATTCGGGGAAAAGATGAAGTAAGATGATAGAAAGAGTTGAAAAATTTTTACGAAAAACATCTCAGTTTTCTTAATGGAATCCAAAGAGACAAATCAGCTTTACCTTTATAATATGAAACCCATTATAAATTCATAGGTTTTTCGTTAATTGTTGTCTTCAAATTGGTTCAATTGGCTCTCCAGTTGTCATGCTATTGGTCTGCTCTCAACTAGCCTCCGATTTGATTGATCCGAATCGTCACTTGTCTTACGGACTTTGGATAGCAATTATAGCTGCTACCATTTGCCCTTTAATGTGGCTTGGTACTCCAGTTGAATTTTGGGGTGCAGCAGCTTTAGCATTATTTACATCGACAGTAGCTGTAATTTTACTACTTACTGATATGGTTAGTGATTACATGGCTCTTGAGAAACCACCAAATGTATCAACGCCTTCACTAAACTCGATTTCACTTGCATTTGGGACTCTAATTTTCGCCTATGGAGGGACAGCACCATTTCCGACCTATCAAAATGACATGCAGAGAAAAGATAAGTGGCCTCAAGCAGTCATTTTAGGATTCCTCAGTAAGTATTCTTTGGCATGTGAGCTTGGCACCAACAAAAGTAGATTGAGTTTGTTTGTGACTGTCTTTTTATTCCGTAGTTTTATTTTTGCTATTCACGCCGTTTTCAATCATTGGTTATCTTGCGTATGGCTCATCGGTCGATAATAATATAGTCCATTCCGTTCCGGGAGGAATTAAGCGTGATATCGTAACAATTTTGATGGCTGGACATTTGTTTTTTGCTTTCATATTGATGATCAATCCAGGAGTGCAGTTGATAGAAAACCAATTAAAAATAGACCGATGTAAGTTTCTCTAGAAGACAAAAATGAAAAGCTAATTAGATCTGTGACAGAGTTAAGAAATCGAAATGAGTTCTATCTTTGTTGTTCATATGAATGATAATCACCGAAATTATACCTTCCCTAAAATACTCAAAGAAGTTTTAACTCCTTTATCATGCAGCTTAATGGATCATTTCTAATGCGTAAATCCATTTAGATGAAACATTCATTGTTTCATGTATCATTGTTTGGTTATCAGTAATCAGTTATCCAATAACTGATCTTTATCTGAAACAATTCCAATGAATACTCACCTTGACTTTCAACTATTCGACCAAGTTATTAGATAATATTATTAGGTAAACATGATAATCAATTCAACTTTGACGAAAAGATTTTGTTGTCTTTAAATGCAGCGTTCAATTGGAAGCGAGTTGTGATAAGGTTCCTAATGTTATGCCTGGTTGTATTCATTGGTGAATCCGTTCCTCGATTTGGCAAAGTTATGGATCTCCTCGGTGGGTCGGTTATGACATTTTTGGCTTACATATTTCCTCCCCTGTTCTACGTGAAGTTGTGTTCAATGAAAAGCCCATCTTGGCCGCAAAGGTAACTCCAGATACCAATCTATTTAACCTTGATTTAATTCCATCTTCTCGGCATATTACAGAAATATCTCATTATTTTTCAAATTGTATTGCTACAAAATCATTCTGTTGGGATTGATTGGTGGAATCTGTGCGACTGTTTCTGCAATGGTGGCAATTTTAGGACCAAACACATTTGTATTACCATGTTATATAGATTTTAATTGCTCTTATAATTAAACGGGGCTTGAACTCACGAATCAGCATCTGTAAATAAAAAATTTAATCAGGTATATTATCATGGTAATATAGCATCTTAAATTCAAAAATATTGATCTTTTGAATTTTTACATGAGACTATCAACTGAAACTTCAATTACAGTAATGATACTAACATTAGTACTTATAATCAGAAAATTCATATCCATGATAACGTATCACATGTAATAAGAAAACTCATTTGGTTATCTCCAAGTCTATCTGCAAACCAATTGAAGTGTCAACTGATGAGTGGCAGCAAAATTACATCAGGCAATTAAACAATTAACCACCATTACAATCGACATACTGCTACAAAAAAAGAGAAACAAAAATTACAGACAATAAATTAACAAGCTATCAAGGTTTAACACAAAAAGATTACCTGAAAAGTTACTTAACAAGAAGTGTTTCCTAAATTCGTAGAAGCTTAGGATTGGGAAAATTTTTTTCGATGGAAATTGGATTTGTAATTTCACTCGAAATGAAAATAATCACACCATTCAGACCATTAATCGTTGTTAGCAAGTGTTCATTGAAAATATCGTAGTTGGAAGGCATTTCAAAAAGTCTTGCAGACATTTATTCATCAACATATAGGATTGCACACGGATCTTAAAAAACTTGATGGCACTTTATAAAACGTTAGAAGTTAATTTTATGATTACTTATTAAGCTGTTAGTTCATAATACTATTTCCTAGTAAATTGGTTTAAACAAACAGTAAATTAACTAATATGATGTTTCAAGTAATATGAATATTTCCATTATTTAACAGTTTAAGGGATGAATGTTTGTCAACTGTTGTATCTAGATACTAGATAATTGAGAAAGTCCTATCTGTTGCAAGCCTTAAGGCTTATGTTTTTTGATACCGATATTAATTGAAATCTTATCAGGTGTTGATAAATCTACAACTTGATTGAAAATTTCTGTGTCCAAGTGTGAAGTCAAGGTTTTAGACTGTTTGTCAACAGCATAAATAATGATTGACCGTGTTTGTGCGTAATGTCTATTTAACTCGTTTGGTATGTTTAACCTTTGATTGGACCGTATTTTTCTTCAGCAGTGCTTGTTATCGATAATTATTGACTTATGTCATCGCCATTTTTATCAATCATCACTGCTATTTATTTCTATTATCTCATGTTGATTTCATCTACTTTGGTATCTGACTTTTTTATCCAGTTAAATTGTGAAATAACTTGACCAAATTGTGCTTGTGATAATGAGGTAAGGCTTGTAAAATATCTTTTATTTTTGTTAAGACTTCACCTTTCAATTCAGGTAAAGTGAATATAAATTTTCATTTTTAAGCAATATATTAACAATTAAACTATATAATTATGCTGGTTTTTATCCACTCTGTCTATTATTTAGATGTTAATTGTATTTGGATCAATCACCATGACCAACCAATACAGTCATACAAGTCATTAGGGTAAAACCAGCCATCAAAAATAGCAGTTGGACTAGACCGTTAACCTCTGGACATCGATCAGCTTGTAAGATTTCAAGGAAAACAATATACAAAATGGCACCAGTGGCAACAGCATTCAATAATATCAGTGTCAAACTTCCATCTTCACTCAGACCTTTTTCGATAACAATGGTTAAGAAGATACCTAGTGGTGACATGGCAGAAAATATAGTCATATGTATTGAAGTAAAAAGAAGAGAACCCGTTTTCTCGAAAAGTTCAAACCCAATGGCAAACACCACAACAAATTTATGTAAACAGATGGCAAAAAACATGGTCCAAATTGAATAGGAGCTAGTTTGTAAGCCAATGGCAACACCGTCAAAAATGGAATGAGCCAGAAATGCAATCACTATAATTAAACCCCGTAAAAATAGAGTCCAATTACTTTCACCGGCAATTGATTTAATGGAACTATAAGATCGATGAAGGGATGTAGGAGATAAATTATCGCCGCGCAAATCAATGGCTACATTGTCATAGCCTATTTTATGTTTAATTTCAGCGTGTTTCTCGATACTATTTGAAGACAGTCTCCGTGATCCATTATTTGTGATTGAACCATAATCTTCTAAACCTCCATGTGGTAAATTGTTTTCTGAATAACAAGAAGTCGTCCTTCTTTTATGATTACTTTCCACTGACAAATCGTGATGATTTTGCTGGTGATGATTATGATGATGGTGGTGATGGTGAGATGATTCACGTCCGATCAACAATAAAATTGACTCTTCTATGAAATAGGTTAAAAAAAGTCCCAGACAAATGCAAATCTCTACCCAAGGTGGACTGTGTGAATGTGAATGAGAATGTCCTTCCTCGCCACTTTCATCATGCCCCGGATGATAGAATCGAACGTTTTGGATTTTATTATAACCCCCCGCTGCAACTGTTGGTATGCTTGTGGTTTCCGTGACTGGCGATATAGTTGTTACATCTTCATGGTGCTCTTTACTTTCTTGATATGCATTATAACTTTCTTGAATCTCTGGTATCATGTGAACAAAGCAGGTTGATAGAAGGACACCGCCACCAAAGACCAACAATAGCTGCAAAATTTTGGCACTTTTGGAAGATTTGGAATCTTTTCGAACATCCAAACCTGAGTTGTGACTCTCTAGGATTGCTTTATCTTGTTTCCTTCGCCATAGATTAAACACTAAAACAGGCCCAAGACCCGCCAACATGGTAAGCACAAAAAGAGTAATCAAAGCAGTTACACGAGTTCCATTTAGATCCATTTTTGATGCTTTCAACCAGCTTTACTTATGCAAATTCACAAGATAAAAATGAGTGAAACAACCAGAGAATTATTTGAGAGAAAAAATTAACAAGAACAAAAAGCTGTCCAAACAGTCAGCCAATTGATTAAATTAACTGTGGAGAAAGATTAGTTGCTGATTACTTATACACTCTTCTAACCGGTATAAAGTAAACTACCATTCAGAATTTACCATTACTTGGACGGTTGTGCTTAAGTAGTCGTATTTTTCACAGTTTTTTTTGATAAAATGGGTACTACGGTTACAATCAACCTTTGATTTAAAAATCATAACATACAGCTACATTGCTGGTGAAGATACGAGATGAAAAAACTCATCAAAATAAGATAAAATTGCGAACCTGTGAGATTGCGTTTAACTTTAAATATAACTCATTAATTGTGAGAGTAATGTAGTAAGAGTTATACTCACTGGAGAATAGACTGTAATGATTAATTGCGATTGTAATCACAAAAAAAAAGATTTGCTAGAGACCGACAAAGATTTTTGCATTGATGAGTGACTACGTAAATCTCAAACTTAGCAACTAATTAAACAGTGATAATCTGACAAAAAAAGTGAAGCCAATGGTGATTAGGAAAACTCATCGCATGTCATTCAACTTATGCTAAAATTGATATAATTCAATCAGTTAAGAGTATCAGACCAATTTACGTGATTTATCTAATTCCAACTTTACATTTTCAATTTTAGCTAACCAAAGGTCCCATTACCGTAAAGTTGCCCATAACATTTTCAAATGATAGCCATAAACATTTACAATGGCTTTGGTCTGTTAACTTGACTATGTACTGTATTTAAGGGATTGGAGATTAGATAGTCACTTAATTGTCTTATTAATTGAAACAATGTTTTACGTGACAATTATAAATTGTCTTTCTCTTGCTAATCATAACACAAGTGTCTCACATATACAAAATGTGCAAAGTGCTGTTCAAAGTTTATTGTCTTTGTCTATTAAAAGGCTGTAATGAAAGATGATTAGCGGAAAATGCGATAAGTAAATTAACCAAATCAACAACCAATTTTCAACCAAATTATTTACATATGACCAGTGAAAGTTGTAATTTTAACCATTGCTAGGAAATCTGATAGAAATAAATTTCCAATACTGAATGAGAATGAAAAAATGAAATATTACTGAATTATCCGATTCAATTGACTGCATCATTAATAAAAATGCCTCTAAAATGACAAATTTGTTACATTGTATTGGAAGAGAGTCATTATTGATTCCATTTAATGGCTGACCAAGCAATACTGTATATTGAGAAATGATTAATTTGGTCTGGTGTTGTGATTTGCTGTCATCAAGAGTAATTTATCATGTTAACGCAATTATTGAGACGCACTTTTGTAAAATCAGTTACAAAAATATTAATTCTTATTTCGTTTTCTCTCTGTTTCAGGCAAAAAATGCACCAGATACATGATAAGAAAAATGTTATAAAGCTAATTGTACCCACTGGACTGATTGCTAAATCATTGCTTATGGACAGTAAAATCTACTTGATTGTCAATTTATTCATTGGATTCGTATTTGTTTTCAAAGGTTTATTTGTGATTTATGCTGCATTCAATATTGAATCGTCTGAAGAAATCTTAATCAGTCGCATTGAGGATTTATTTAACCGAATAAACGATATATTGCTTGGCGTTTGTGTCATCTATTTCAGGATAAACCGTTCAAAGTATCAACGTTCCTTTTCAAGTCTTTCTCAAATTTTGGTTACTGACAATACTGTTGCTGATCAATATGTTTCTCATCATCGTAAAATTTTCCGATACATTTATTTGTTTGCAATTGTATATGAGTTTCTGTCTGATCTTGTCATGGATTATCCGCCTTATATCAGTAAGATGATAAAACATGATCACACAGTCATTCGTAAAACCTTTGCTATCATAGTACGTTTATTGGTATCTTACGCTTGGATACTTTTTGTCCAGTTTATATTTGAGACGTGTGTTCACCTCCAATCGGCATTCATTGTTATCAGTTCAAATGTTTCAAGAGTCAACAAACGAAGTCCGTTGTCTAGTCACAAAATTCAAACATTTCGTCAAATGTATTCTCAAACTGGTGAGATAATTGCTAATATTGATTCATTTCTTGTTTTAACCGTGCTTGGTCTTTACATTTACCTTGTGGCGACTTGTCATTTCAATCTTGTCAAGCTATTCCACGGCGAGAAAACATCTGAATCCATAATGGGTCTCATCTTTTTCGGGTCACATACTGTTTACCTGATATTTATGACCTTTCACTTTGTCCATGTAAATTTGCTGTCGGTAAAATGTTATGAAACAGTTTATTCACTTTCCTTTGGTTACTATTCACCTGAAATAATCAATGAGGTAAATACTGACTAAACTGATCTTCAATCAATTCTGGACTGATAATATTTTCTTATTTTCTGATTTAGATTCGACTGTTTCTGGAAAGAATCGGAAGACATGATGTTGGATTTACATTTGCGAAGATCTTTGTAATTTCTTCTAATTTTGTCTCATCCCTTGCAACTATCTCACTGACCATTGCATTAGCAGCACCTAATTTATTGCAATGAAAACCATTATTACTCTTTAAATTTGCTGTATTTCATGGATTCTCCAAATTTCCAATTGTTTGATTGGTTTATTGTGTTGTTATCAAATCTATTGAAATATATCAATATTTCATTGTTTTCATAATTTGTAATTTCATGTTTTCGGAGAGATCGGTAATGAAATTATGAAATAACTCATTATTTGCAAGTTGTAACAATTTAGAATAGAAATTAGATGAACAAAAAATAAGTACATATTGTGTTTATAAATATAATTTATGTCGTTTTTGCAAGAGTAAAGATGATTTGCTGATTTGTAGTTATTCTTGTTTCATTCAAAATTGCAATGATTAGAAAAATAAATGATCAATAAAATGGATAACTTCATTGATCCCTTCGCCATACTTTGAATGCAAAGGTTAAATTGCCCAAGGTAGAAATTATTTGCCAGTTACAAATCAAATTGCTAGATGCAAATATTCAGCGATGAAGACTTTGAAAATTTTGATTAGATTGAGGATTGTTGGATGATTTAAAGCATCGCCATTATCAGACATTTTATGCCAAACTGATGGAAAAGGCATTGGAATGACATGGACAATTGGGACTCCTCTTGAAGCAAATGGTTTATGGTCATCATCAACGCCTCCAAAACTGAGTCGATTCTTGAAATAGGTGGTTGTCGTCTTTGGTGGTTCAGCTTCCAACAATGATAAATCATTCAAACGTTGTTCTGTAAAAAATGTCGTAGAAGTAAAATCACAATTAGTAAGTAACTCATCAATAAATATCCTATTGGACAAAATTATCTGTTGAACTCTTTGGTTGTATCAACTATAGCAGACAAATTAACAGTTACCTGCTCGTAATATTTTGGCATAAAGTGGATTGGTTTCTGGAAAATAGCTGTAAATCGATGGATTGGCTGTACCAAGAAGATCAAGAAGGACCATTACATCAATTCTGTCCAATTCTGACGCATAATCTCCAGGACATCTTTGTCTATCAGCTTGATTCTTAGGAAATCTTGATTTATTCCAAAGAGCAGCTAAATGACGAGAACCATAAAGTGAATCCGTATCTGTCCAGTCTTTAAAAGCCTCTTCCCCATCAAAAAATACAAATTGCAAAGTTAAATCATTACGTTCCTGTAAAAGAAGAGAAACAATTTTCGTTAGAATACTTGAAAAATATTGAAATTAAAAGAAGGAAACTTACCGTTTTATGTTTCTGTAAACTGGATGAGAAATGACGAGCAATCTCAATCATCATTGAACAAGGGACAGCTGAATCGGTGGCAGCAACAAAATTTTTACCAGGAAATAATTTGGAGTCATAATGACAAGCAATCATTAACCGACGGCAAGCTTTTGGGTTTAGAGTTGCAATTATATTAACAAAAGGTTTGGAACCATACGGAGTATTGGCCATAAAAGCATCTTCCTCAACTGTCCACCCTAAGTCTCTCATCGAATTTTCTATGAACTGAAAAAGAAAAAATGATAAAAAATAAATCAAATGGCAAAACCAGAAACAAATACACCTAATAATGGATACACATCAAAAACGATAAAAAGTTCACTCCACTAGCAATTTGGCTTTTCATAGTTATCAGACAATACCAACTGTGAAGGATATTGAATGAACTATCTCTGACAGATTTAATTGTCAAATGAACATCCTTCAATATACAATCAAAGAAAATGAGTTTGACCTAAAATAATTCAATTTAATGAATCAAGTCAAACCATAACACTTCATGAATCTCGATAAACTAAGAAATAATGCAAAACGGAAATGTGTTGCAACTTAATACACATGTACTAAAAGGGTTAAACGATGGAATATTTATTCTGACTAAATAGCGTTACATAACAGTGTTAGTCAAACAAAATGATTTACTGCAGATCATTAAATGATATTCTAATGTCATAAACTAATCTATCAATTATTAATCAGAATAGCCTTAATTTTCTAGACATTTGGAATTATTATTCAAAAATCAGTAACTTTATTTTTTTACTTGCAGAGCTGATTGATATCAAGGCTCTTCTTTCCATGCATCTTTCGTGATTTCGGTGTATTTATTTTTGACTATTTGCCTAGCTTCACAGTTCTACCACAGTTATTGACGCTATTGGTGAATATCAAGTTATAAAATTTTGTTACATCACATCAATATTGTGTTGGTGCAATCTTTTTACGACGACTTCTATGCCAAAAGCAATCGTATTCAATGTTGAAAGTGAGATTTATAATATTGGTAACAATAAAATCTGAAGCGAGTGCTGAGGTTAACTAATAAAAAAACAATAAAAATATGAATGAAATAGTTTTAGAAAATTGTAATCATTCAGACTTATCAATCAGTCTAGCTGATTAAATTTTGAGAATACGTTTATAAATGTCTTTTTTAGTCTATAATTCGCAGAGCAAATTCAATCACCATCGAGCTGAGGTTATAAGTAATTAAATTGACTATAAATTTAAGCAACAGTAACATTATCCATGATCCAATGATGAACACTTTAACCATTTCATTTTTAACTTTGTTCATCTCTATCAACATCGCCCATGTTTCATCTCATTTAGAGAGACCTGGTAAATATCTTGATCATGATCGTACAATAGTTGATTGTGCTCGATACAAGAGGGAAGCCAATCAACATAAATGTGTCCTGGCTCCATTCACAACTGAAGGCCCATACTTTTTGTCTGATGATCTTCAACGATCAGATATTACTGATGGCCAAACTGGAGTTAATTTAGACTTGAATCTTAAATTAACCAACGCTAAAGATTGTTCACCTTTATCCGACTATTTTGTTCACATCTGGCATGCCAATGCTTTGGGTCACTATTCAGGTGTACAAGAGTTTGATATATTTCTTGAACCATATTTTCGTCCAAAGCCAATTTCTGATAAAAGATTCCTTCGTGGTTATCAAGTAACTAATGAAGATGGCCAAGTAAACTTCAAAACAATCATTCCTGGTTGGTATTTTGGTCGCTGTATACACATTCATATTGAAGTTTATGCCAAAAATACTACAGATGGTAATGCTGTTAATTACATTGGCCAATTTTATTTCAAACAAGAATTGCCTGGACAATTGAAACTTGTCGAGCCTTATTCAAATAATCATAATCAACTTACACTAAATGATGTTGATGAAATTTTTGCCGTGACAAATGGACAAGATACAGTTCTTGATTTGGAGCCACAGGAAAATGGTTTCAGATCAGAATATATTGTAGCAATTAATCCAGATGTATCAGTTAAATATGATTATCTTTTCTTGTAGAAAAGAGTATTCAAGATTATTAATTTTATGTAATTGTTACATAAAAGGGAAATTAATATCCAATTGAAGTTAGTAAATGAATTATATTTGTTTCAATTTATAATATTATTATTTACTGTCAACATTTGTTGAGTCTTATTTTTGTATGATTTTTCTCGATACAGTAATTTCATCCCTAACATGGTTGAAGACTTCATGAATTGTAATCAATATAAGTTTCTCATTTTCATCATTCTCATTGCACATTTATTAGCTTGGACTTTTCAGATAATTTTTCCCAGAATCAACAAGTAAAATATAAGTTGATCAACTTGAATCGGTCAAGATGCTAACCTATTTCAATTGGATATCATGATTGCTCTCACTTGAGTATCTTTCTTCTCATTAATTTATAACGATTGAGATTGGACTAGTTTCTGGTTTTCATCAGTAGAAAAGATTCCCAGTTGGAATGGCACAGGAATATTTATGTAAATGATTTATTAAAAGATGAGATGGGAATGAAAAAAACCTACAAACATATTAATAGAAATATGGAACTTTGAGGATAAAATAAAGCTACTTCTTAGGAGCAACCTTTTCATGTGGATTAATATGTTTACCTGTATATTAAAAGCAAGATGTCAATGTCAATCCAATTAACACCTACGTATTGAGCAAGTTAACCTATTATTTAATCAAATTGTAGTTTATTGATCAAAATTGTAAGGTTAAATACTTGAATTATGGTTCTATTTATGTGTTAACCAGAAATCTATTTTTGGGTTCATAAAATAACCGAAAAATACTTTGAAAATACCCTTCATATCTCTTTACCAATACTCTTTACTATTGTTATGCTGGATAAAATTGTACATTTTATCCTCTGTAGCTTCATTGTGAATTGATTACAAGCACAATTAAACAGTTAATTGGTTTGTATCTATGGCGCTTTATGGTCAATGGTCCATTAACTTGTGCTGAAGGAAATCAGTTTGGGTTAAATGACTCTATTCAACTGAAAGGAGCAATTTAACGACAACATTTGCTGTTAATCACACAACCCTGGAAATTGTTGTTTAACTAATTCTGAAGATACATTTAAACATTGATTCTTTGAACACCTGAATATTCACAAACATTATTTGAAATTATTAAAATAATTGGAGACGTTTACACTCCAAATAAAGTATAAAAAATTGATTTGATACCATTAATGCGTAAATATAATTTTTGGTTAATTTTCTTTGGTATTTTGGTCTATTTATATTATTCCCATTGATTCGTTGTGGTCACTTAAATATACAGATATGAGAACAGAAAAGTTGATTGGACAGAATTACAGATAATTGATATAAAATAGCAAATTAACCAGACATAATTGAAGACGCTGTTCAATAACTTACTATTTAATGATGTTGAGTTGACTGGGAACTAACAGACTTTCATTACCATTAGCAACATTTAACCAACATTAGCAGAATTAATAGAAATTAAGGAAGATTTAATTACCTCTCGAACTTTTCTATTCCCTTCGGTACCGGAAACTCTTGGAATCATGATGTTATTAAGTGTATAATTAAAATATTCATAGGTTTTCGGTGAATCACTGGCAATTGTATAAAGATCATTGGTCTCCAGATACTTCAATTGATGATGCCACTGTAAGGAAAAGAGGTAAAACAAATTGAAAATAGTTGATTGAATAAACATAGTGATTACTAGAGAAAGGTTAAATAATTATGTTTGATCTGATCAGTGATTAAGTGACAGGGAATATATTTTTGCCAATCTAGAAATATATTCATCGTATGCTTACAATTGTATTTTTCTTGTCTTCAAAGCTGTTTAACAATCACAGACAGATGATAATAAGTAAATAGAGTAATTGGTTGCAGGGAAACTAAACAATTAAGGTCACGACAGTTTGTCCTCAAAGTTGTTATACAGTTTAACCACTCACACTGAGATTTGACTGAATACTATGTTTGGGTTTTGATCTTGAATGAACACAAAATTGGAGTTCATTGTAAAATAACTGTTGGTTGATTCATCTAACATCTAAAAGACATTTTATGTTGTTTATTTGATTAATAAATTGGGTATCTGGTTTAGGTTAACTCAGTAGTAAAGTAATGAAAATTGTCTTATTTGGGTTGACTTGTTGCCTTGACACTTTACATTATGCTTAACAATAGCAAGTCTGTTTGGAGACATTTGAAGGAATTTAATTATGAATTGTTAAGACTGGATGTTCCTTATATAATGAGGATATTAAGCTGATCAGTAATCAGTTTATTACATCAGTGATTTGATTACTTCTAGAATCAATTGATCAGCAAATCGGTGAGTTATCTCTGTAGGAAAGAAACATCTGAAGCGATCAGCTGTTCACACACTAATACATGTTTTGAAAAGATTGACGTTTTTTGGATTTAATGCTATTTTATATTGTTATTATTATATTTATTTATTAATTTACTGATTTCCTATTTTTTATAGATTACTATCACAAAGTGAATCTCACCTGTTTTGGGTCCCAATTGACTGCTCCGACTGGATCATTGGATAAAACATTGCTTGCTAATATTCTCATTAGATTTATAAATGACCAGAAAACACTTGAGAAGTTGTTCATGATTAAAATTAAGATAATTAATGACTTTAAAATAACACTTTAGGTTAAAAAAATATTGAAAAATTATCACAAAAAAGACCAGCCTGATGTGGGATATAACACATGGGATAGCTTTAATTATAACTGTGAAGTCAGTTGAAATGGTGAATAAGTTGACTTATTGAAGATGAATAATTGAACGAATTGTTTAATTACAAACGATTAAAGTTATAAATTTAAGTTTAACAAAGTTGGTAAAAATGATATAAATAGAAACACGTATCCATTATATTCAATTCAACAGCTTAATAACATGAGGTTGAGATAAGTTAAGCAACAAGTTTAACTGGTTGAAATGGAGTAACAGTTGTAATGTTACCTGTATTCAGTATTTTTGTTCACATTCACAATAACAATGACTGAGCTCACTCTCAATATGTTTTGACATGGAGAGAGAGAAGGAAAATAGTAAACAAAGTAGTAAACCAAATAAGATTTGACATGTGGTGATGGACAGATGATTTCTGAAGGTGAAGATGGATGGATTGAATATTGTCAAGAACAATCGCCTGATTTTGAAATGAGATCTTGAAATATGGAAGTAAAATATATAAATGTGATTAAACAGAGCGTTCATAACCATTCACATAACATGTATCTTTATTGGTCCTTTCTGCTCCTGTCACAATAATCAACTGACAATCCAATCATTTGCTAACTTCAAGATTCTGCAGCATAATTTGTCCAAATAACAAAATTTACTTAATAACCATTCTTGCTTATTAATCATGCTGGCTCGGCATCCATTGATTGTTGTTGATCTGAGTTGTCAGCCTCAACACTTCGACCTTTTAGTAGAAGGTCAATCTCTTCGATAGGAGCTCTTAACCTTATTTCTTTCTCGGACATAATGGTAAGCAAATCAGTTAAAAGATGAGGAAAGGTGTCAATAGCATCAAGAAACAATATCTTAGACCAGGGACAGTTTTGAATGGCTCTGTAAACGATAGATTCAGCTTTCTTCATATTTCCATGGTCAGCATTGAATTTCATGAAGGTTCTCCATAAAACAATGATACCTTGGTTACAAGGAAATGACAAGCATCTTTCAAATAAACCATTGATTCGTCTAATTATACCATCACAGGCTTGACTGCCTGCACTAGAATCTGTAAATGAGTAAAAAACGTAAAAAAATCATTAGAAAATTGTCATTTTCATTTGCATAAAACAAGTTTGATTATAAAATAGAGAAAGTTAATTCAAAGATGATTAGAAAAGTATGACTGGAAATTTGGCTTCACAGATGACCTATTTATATGTCAGTCGCATTAACCTAAGCTGTGCCTGAAACTAATGAGTAAGGAATTTATAAGACCTTATTGACCTAGGGTCTTCATAGACTGCCCTTCTAGGGTGTCTCGGCATAATTTTTGAAAGGGTTTAGGTCCAATTAAATGCGTGACTTGCCTACTTTAGTAAGTTGCCTTTAATTGCTGACTTGCCCTCAAAACTAAGATTAAAAACAGCTTATCATAACATGAGCAATTTGATGTTCTTCTGTCGAGCTAACCTGGATAAAGATAATGTTACGGTTATGTGATCTGATGATGAGATACTTTTTCATTAGTTTCCTACTTTTTTTGCATCATGAAAGATCTCAATTTTACAAATTGATCAATGTTTATCAATGCAAGCAATCTTAAACTCATTTAGTGTTGTTGTAATATCACGCAAGACGATGACCAATGGAAATTATTGAACTACTGAAATTACCTTTTATGATATTTAATCTCTTTAACTCGAAATGCAATTTGAATATCCAAATAACTAAATCACTTGATTCACTTTTGCGAATTAGATCGGTGAAGAATCTGTGGAGATAAAAATACAAGTTAGAATATTTTCCAATAAAATGTAATTTTAACCATCTCTTGAGGTATAACGCATTTAAACAGCTTACCTATCAACTGCTATAGGAATAGCAATACTGGATTCGATATTGATGAACAATGAAAGGAAAGGTTTATGATTTGGGAATTGTTCCAATGCTCTTTTACATACATCTCGCAATGATGATATTGATTTGATAGTCCTTTTAATATCAATTATCAAAAGTTGAAGGTGAATTGTGAATAAATCCAATTTTCTTGACTTAGATTGATCATTAGCTCTGAGTAGCGCTTCACACTCATCGAAGGCTAGGCTGGAATCATTAACAATTAAATAAACTAACAAATGGCAAAATAAGATATTGGATGTAAATTCATCAACTATCTCTGCCATTATATCCAAAATCTTGGACGCTTTCAAAGCAAAGATGGGTGCGTAATTTTCAAGCTTTTTACCCAATGTAACACTTGAAATCATCTTTAAGGCTTGGTTCTCAGTTTCGCGCCAGCTGGATCCTTCGTATGACAAATTTTGAGAGCAGAGATCTTTTACATCAAATAAAAGTTGACAATAATTGGAGACAAATTTGAATAAACGACGAGAATCGATTCTTCCTGTGAACAAATCAATGGCAGTTTCATAAATGAGACAGGCTTCTTTGTGTTCACCTCGCTTCACTTCAAGCGTTGTCAATAAATCCCACAAATCCAGATCATTTCGATAAATTTCAATCTTTAAGTAATCTTTGATTATTTTCTTTACTCCTTTATACTTCAAAGTGACATCAACTTGACCAATAAGAAATTTTAATCTCCATAAAATTAATTGCTTTTCGTGAGGAGTTTCTTTAAATTGAGCTATCGATTGGATGAAAACTTGGTCACGAAACGTGGTAAAGTCATCATCGAAAGCATTCAAACGTAGATTGAATAAGCTTTGGATAGGATTAATGATCAAAGAATCATCTATTAAAAATATCGAGTCCATGATATCACTTGCATCGATTGCTCCAAGAAATTTAAGAAAATGTAAAATTAATAGATATTTAGTTCCATCCTCTCTGAATCGAAATAATATCTTTGCCAAATCATCAATAAGAACGTTACGTTCTGTATCATCAGCTTGATCAGCATCAGGACCTTTTACTGGAAGCCAATAATATTTCTCTCGAAGGGTTTCAATCTCAACCCAAAGTTTAGCTTGATTATTGAAATATTTTTCCAACAATGGATCCTCTAATTCATCAATCGGTTTTCTCGATGGCCCTTGGTTGAGCAATTTGTTTTTCATCACATTTTTCCAACCTTTAGCATCTAATTCACCGAATCTTGAGCAACCTGAATCCCAAAAAGGTTCAAGTATGGCCTTCCACTCAGATAATGGTTGGTCATAAGTTAAAAACTCTGGAGTGAATAAATTAAATTCGATGAGGACTTGCCATATAGCTATTGCCTTTTCTTGATAACCAGCTTGAGAAAGGAAAGTTGTGTAATGAAACATAGTTTTAACGATTTCAGTTTCAAGATTTTCAGTCATTTGATGAGTTTGAAAAGTTCCTTCCAACATGCTATTGAAGATTTCGAAACATTTAAGGAAAGCTCGGTTTAGTTTGGGTACAGAGAAGTGTGAGATGTGTGTCTGAAGAAATATGAAATAATTTTTCCAAATGGTTGGATTATTTGGATGATTAAATGTCATTTTTTTCCATTCCTTGTCAAGTTCATTAGGTGTTGCTATGAATCTCATAAGATTCAATCTTTCCAATTTAAGTCGCATACATTTAGGATTAAATTCAAGAGCTTTGTCAACTATACTCAGTTTTTTCTCAGCCAATACCGTCTCGCGAGATTTTGTACATTTCGATGAAGATGACCAGATAAATGAGTCTTCTTGGAATTGAAGAAATTTGAACCATCTTTCAATATCGTTAGGATGCAAGCGAAGATATTCATTGAATTCTTTAGTCTTGTTTTGTACCGTCCATTGACTGCTTGATAATCTGAATTCGTCTTCGGAAGAAACGTGTAAGTTTTTCTTTGGATCTTGCGCTTTAATGTATAGGGCAGTTGCTTGATCGTGAACATCCTTCAAACTGTCTCCCAAGTTATGAGAATCTTTTGAGATAACTTTAAATGCTGGTTCAGAAATCTGTAAATATTCAGGCAAAATGAAGATTTCATCTTTCTTAGTCACAGTGATTGCCTCACAATTTTCATCTTGAACCATCTTTGAATCAAAATATCTAGTTGATCTCTGTTTAGCTTTATTCAAAGTCTGGCGAAGTCTTTTACTTTTAAAGCATTTTTTCTTGTCGTATGATGGAACAAGTAAGTTGTAAACACTTTCAAAAGCAAGATTGTTTCGATCTGGTCTTGGATCTTGCTGAAAAGCTTTTTCCGGAGGCAATCCAACCTCTTCGAGGAAGACTTTGTTGATGTAACTATCAGCCTTTTTTTCTTTCGATTTTTTTGGCCCCCATTCCGTCCTTTCTCTCTCTTCGGAACGATGTTTAGAATGTTTATCTTTCTTGACTTTTTTAGAAGCGTCTCGGGATTTTTTCTTCTTTTTCTTCTTCTTTTTAGACTTGTCACTTTCAACTTGAACCTCCCCAATCAACTCGATGTCAGTATCTCCACTGTCAGAAGCACTATCTTCGCTTATATTCACAGTTGTTGGTTTTTGATCCTTAAGTCGCTTAGCTTCATCATCATCAGCTATGGTTTCCACCGGGACTTGAAAACTTTGGTTACTAAGCCAGTCAGTGTTTGAAGGTTTCGAATCCCAATCATAACCAAGATTAGATGCTGATGGGAACATGGTAAAATTATAATCAAAGAATAAATTCAAACAAACAGTCAATTAGTTAATAACTGGACTTAAAAACTGAGTTAAAAACTGAACATATGATTTTTTTATTGACATCTGCAGTTACTAGGCGAAACTACAGATGGCGTTCAGCCTACTCCCCTAAAAACACCAGCAAATAAACCAAAACATTGAATAATCCTAATTTTGGATTAAATTGCTGTTTTTCACTAGTGTTTAATAATTAAGCACTACAATGAATATTATTAATAGTAAATTTTCCATGAATGTTCGTGACACTTTAATCAAATCGTTCAAACAGTTCAAACAAGACCCAAATCAACTTAAAAAAATTGAAAAAAATACCAGTGATTCACTTTCTTCAGATTCCCGTAAGTAAAAGCAAATTCTGAGAATAAATTTCAACTTTATGCTTTAAGACTTTACTAATGTCTCTATTGAAATTACAGGAACCGATGAAAATGATAGTGAAATACCATTTTTTGACCCTACAAATCCAACAAAAATGATACAGTTCTTGGAATATATCATTCTCAATGAATCTGATAAAGCAGATGAGTCAATTTTTAACAGCTTACTAGATTGTTATCTAATAAATTGGAAAAAAGCTTCCGAACCAAGTGAGCGGGATATCTTAAGAAACAAAATCATGTCACTATTACTAGATCACATGGGAAAATACAGCTTCGAACAAGCAATGATTTCATGTAGGATGAATCATTTTATTGATGGACTGCTCTTTTTATATGAACAAATGCAATTATATGATCTCATTTTGGACCATTATGTCGAGATTGGTGATGTAAATAAAATTTTGGAAACCTGCGAAAAATTTAGTGATCAAGATGAACGTCTCTGGATTAGAGCATTTTGGTACTTTGCTAAAACCTCTGATGTTGACATATCTCTTCTTCATAGAGTATTGGAAGAAGTGGACAAAAGAAATTTGATTCCTCCGATCAGTATTATTGACATTTTATCAAGAAACTCTCCAACTGCCAGTCTTGCTGCAATCAAAAATTATTTGTCTCAATGGTTGACCAAAAACAGTGAAATGGTATCCAAAAACTACGACTTAATCCATCAATACCAAGATTCAACTGAGAAAATGCGTGATGAAATAGAGTCAATAAGAACACAGCCAAAGATATTTCAATCAAGTCGATGTTCTTTCTGCAAAGTTCACCTAGAATTACCTTCAATTCACTTTCTTTGTGGCCATTCATATCATCAAGGATGTTTAGAGTCTCCTAGTGATGAAAAAGGATGTCCACTTTGCTTACCAGAGCAAATAAAACTATCAAATATGAACAAAAAAGACCAAGATTTCGATATATTGAACAACCAATAACTCACAGATGGATTCAAATCGGAACTCATAATCTCTTATCAAGTCCAAATTGATTAATTTAAATATTTACATTGTTTGCTATTTCCAATTACGCCTATCAAAGTTTATATCCAACAAATGCCATTTATTTAAATTATAAATTGTTATTTTGAACATTTTTCTGGTGTTATCCCCGAAAATAACAAAGTGTAGATATTTTGTTTTCACCAATAATTTTTAATAGCTGTTTCCATGTTAATTGGTCTTCTTAAGAGTAACCAAATTTTTTACTTGTGGGAATAAACAATTATCACGATTAAAATCAAAGAGAATGAAGTTGATTAAGAATCAAAGGATCTGAAGAAGCAATGCCACCAACAAGGAAAGACCATCAGCCATTCAAGTTATAATTAATTGATCCTTTACTATTTTGTTACCAGCAACATTCAATGGTTACACCATGAATAGATTGTATTATTATTATTATTTTGTTAAATTCCGACAATCATTACAATTATAAACCATTAATTTACTTCAAACAAGCAAAGCGCACATGAAAAAAGCAGCAAGAAAAAGGCAAGAAGAAAAAGCAAGCAACTCGTTTTCAAATTTGTAATAAACTGTTGTTACTTTTGTGTGATAAATTTAACAATTAGTAGCACCTTCAGTAAATTAAAAAGATAACATTTAATTGAAGATAAAATGTTTAATGAATCTCAATTGAGTTAAAGGGAGTGAATCTTCATGAAAAGTAATTATTAGTTACGATTATCCTTCTCACTTTTGCTGGCTGTCTTGAAGGTTTCCAAGTTAAATTGAAATTAAAGAAACATCACAACAAATGATATTTATTATCATTACCACTATGATACGTTAATTAGTTAGGTAACCCAAAGGGGATTGGTAAGACTTAACCAACAATCAGCCAAGGTAAAGCCAACTAACCACCCAAACAAACACCTAAACCGACCATTAAATACTCACTTTTTCACTAACTATGAAAGTCACGACAAACAGATTCACACAAGACTCTTTTTAAAAACGTTTTTTTTCACAAAAAAAAATTCATTTAATTTCAACTTTTCTCCATCATTTATTTTTATACTTGCCTCTCTTCTCCGTTCAATTTCCCATTCCAGTGAATTCAACTTAAATTGTTCATTTACCGCCAATCTGATTATAGCCAGGTAACAATGAATAAGGTATTAATGAGCAACAAAAGTTAACTACAAAAATGCTCATCAACTAGTATTACGCGTAAAAAAAGGTTAACATGATTTTACATGTTTAATGTTGCAGCCATAAAATTAGGAAAATTATTAAATCCAATTTTACTTGATTTACAAATGACCTTTTTTTTCAATCAAAGATGACCATTTAAAGTATCTGTGACTTTCAAATACACATGTAATATGACTACTTTTGATGTATACTTGAGATGTTTTGATATGATTCTGATTAGGTTTCCTAATTATTCGAGTCAATTGAAATTGAGCCCATCAACTGCCATTTTACTCGTTCATGATTGACTTTTATCAATACACAGCCTTGTTCAAATGTGATTTCAACCTTAGGCCACTAATGATAGATGATTATCAGTATCGGTGATTTGGATGCTTCAACATATTAAACATAACCACAGTCTTGCTTACAAAGTGTATCATGTTTTTGCCAGCTAAGGCTGAGTAATATTATCCGTCTTTGTACCTTTGTACAATCAAATTTGTAATATTTGCAATCAAATGATTAAAGATGGAGATTGAAATTGTCTAACATTGAGACAATATTTTGATTTATCCAATGTAAATGTTTACTCTTGTGCAAATGAGCCTTTTAGCTGAGGATGTGTCCATCTTGAACAGGAATTTCTTTCCAATCACAGTTATTCCCGAATAGTTTTTGTTTGTTTCATCAATAAGTTTAAAATTGATTGGTTTGAAGATGTTTAAGTGTCATTCATTGTCTTTACGTTTGTGAACATCCAAATGGGCTAAAAGAGGATGATGTTGATGAGGATGAAGAAACAAAAACAAGAGCAAGAAGTGAGTTGAAACGTTTAACTAATAGATTCATGATGATAACGATGGTGATGATGATGATCATCATCTTGGTGATGGAAATGCAATGAAGAAATATAATATTTTTGCAGCTAAAATATTTCAAGCTATTAAAGATGATCATTTGAAATCGGAAATGTCAAACAAATAGACCAAAAAAAGAAACCAAAACGTAAAAATGAGACCAAAATTTGCATAATTTGATATTCAAACTGCAAGCAAAGACCAACAAAACCATCCTACTTTTCAATCACCAGTTGACCTTTCACATCTTTCAACATTTCTGCCCTCTCACCATAACCATAATATTAATAGCCTTTACTCCTTTCACTTGACCAAAAGATCAACTAAACCATTCGTTCAAATTTCATTGACTGATCTGCAACAAAAAAATCAAGTTACGATTAAGGTTAATACATTCAAACATTTTCAATATTACATTTGAAAAAGCAAAGCAAACCTTTTACCCAAAAAATCAGATTATCTCAAGACTGATGCGATTGTTTCAATTCATGATTGGTATAAATACACTAATCTAATCACGATCTTGGTTAATTAATTATTGACTTTTTCTGTATTTCAATTCCGATTAGTTATCTGAATATAAATAATCTGAATATCAATAAAACTGAGATTTAAGATTTTCTTGGATTTTATGAAACATATTTTTCTGGCAACTTTTTTGTCTCATTGATATCATTTTGTTATCAAGTGTTATCAATGTTTGATTTGTTCAATTATCATTAAATTGTATTTGATTATTTCTCGAAATTAACTAATTCTTTTCAATTAAAAGCAATCTTGTTGCGGTTCCACTTTCAATTTGAACCTTTCTCCATCTTTCATTGGCTCCACATTCACAACTAATTTATTTAAACTGGTAATTAAATGTACAAATGTTTTCCCCAAATTTTTGCACTTAATTAAATGAGAATCAATCAATTATTTAAACTTTAAACAGTAATTATAATTAAATAAATGGTTTAGTAACAAAATGAAAAAAAGCTAAATTTCAAGTTAATAATGATAGAATGGCGAGAAAGCGTAATTTTGTTTGATTATTATGATGCATTAATGAAATGATTGATGAGACCACAAATCAGTAAATTTTTTTATTAATCTTTAAACATTTAACAAAATAGAGCTAAAAGGTTAATTACAATTTACCTTGGTAAATTGTTCATTAACAGCAACGTTAGACAAGATTGAATAGATGAATTGAATGTTAATCAGTAATTAGGTGTAGGTAACATCCAACAGTTTAATTGGAAAATGATTTGCATGAAAGGAAAACTAAATAATTGATAAATATTGATAAAATGGCTGATTGGCATCCAAATTAGCTTCAAATTCATTTTCACTTTCAATTGTCTTTCACTTTTCAGTTATCGATCTTTCATCGAGCTATAAACATAGTAACATCTTCATGATCATAACCATAATCATGATGATGAAAAATAACTGCAACAACTGACATCTTGAAAAGGTTGCCAACTCTCAGAGTGAATAGCGATAATTTAACCTCAATTGTTGAGTTAATAACAAGTTGTTTGACAAGCAAACCAATAATACGATTGAGCAAAAATATGTGTTTCATCAAACACTGATTAAGTTTCAGGTTAATTGTGGTCATGAGTAGTTGTAATCGGATGAATTGCTTCAAATTGCTGTTGATTTGATTTGAAAAAGCATCTTTTCTGTTGATAAAGAAAAGTATATTTTCTGGTTTTCTGGTTTAGGAAAGGTTAACATTTATTCATAATTTAATCATTTGAAACGATCAAGAGAACCGAAAATTGCGGCAAAATTGAAAAGTCCAAAAAATAGAGTAAATTGTAAATTGAAATGAAATTTCAATCAAAGGAAAATGTTTCAAAAAATGGAATTTATTTTGAATGAATCACCTTAATCATGAACAATTGAGAAAATTATTCCAATTGATCGTGATCATTCTTAATTAACTAACTCATGAATTGAAATTCAACAATAACAATTGTAATCAAATAATCTATAAATGATTAATGGACAGAAAAATTTCTTCCTCTCAAGATGTTTTGACTCTTAAACAAATGATTCTTGGTTTTGTTTTTTTTCATGTAAATTCAGTTAACCATTTGTGAAGGTGAAACATTTCAGGTTAGTCATTCGTTCATCCAATAAGAATCTTCTCCTTCTCATGAAACCCTTCTGTAGGTTTGCTTGGGTTCAGGAGAAGTTGATTTTTTACTTGTGAATCTATCTTATAGTTTCTTTCCTCATTGAGGCGGATGATGGTTGAGGAGGAGCTAAATGAGTGCAAGCCTATAAGCAAAATGGGAAATGATGTTAAACTGTTCAAGTTTGTTCATTTCATTTCAAGTTGCTAACAACAGTAATTTATTTTGTTCAACAATTGAGAGGAAAAAAAAGTCCTTTTGTGCCTCCAAAAATGTCCAATGTAAATGAGGGAAAAGTGGCTGAAAAAAGCATCAAAAGTGAAGTGAAAAGTGATCACAAATCGCCATTCAATCATGCAACATTTACATCGCCCTTTTCCATGGAGAAAATATTAGAGAAAAAAATTAAACAATCAAATTCAACATCGACCACAACATCGACCACACCATCAAGTCCCTCCATATCACCAGTTCAATCACCAGTACAGTCACCAGTACAATCACCTGTCCATTTACCTCATCAACATCATCATCATCATCCTTGGCTGAAACCATTTTCATTTACATCATTCTGTGAACCTTTAGCAATCAAATGTCAGTTAAGGAAACACAAGAGCAATCGCAAGCCGAGAACACCCTTTACAACTCAACAGTTATTAGCACTGGAAAGAAAGTTTCAGTCCAAACAGTATTTATCAATTGCCGAAAGAGCAGAGTTTTCAACATCTTTAAACTTAACGGAAACTCAGGTTAAAATTTGGTTCCAAAATCGACGGGCCAAGGAAAAGAGGTTAAAAGAGGCCGAAGTGGAAAAGTCCAATTTCACTCGAAGTGTTCCCTTCTCCACCTTTGGTTTACAATTTTATCCAACCTTTCATCAACACCAATCACCGACTGCATCCCAAATCACCAAACTCATTTATCCAACGCAACTGATTAACCGATTAACGAAGTAACAATAAAATAGACTTTTCATGTTCGCATTTTGATCTCCTTTTTACACATTGCCACCTAAATTGTTAGTCAATCGATTAACTGTGATTAAAGAGGAAAACATTTCAGCAAAGTTGGATGAAACTTTTATGTCCTTTGACGCTCTTACAATATTTACAGTTGAACGGATCGATATTGAGAAACAAAAAGCTTGAAGATGAACAAAAAGTGAACTTATTTTTCAAGCAAAGATATTAACATGAAAATGTGATTTCATGATAAAGACACTTATTAGCTGGAAAATGTTGATTTAATTGTTTCTCGTGTCAATTGTAAATATTAATAAAACGTTTGATTGTGATTTTGTTTGTTATTGTTTTGCATCAACTTCAATAAGGCTTAAACTTTCAATCAACTCTGAACATCGTAAGCCAGAAACAGAAAAACTTTTGATTACTTTGCACATTTAATTGATTAGTTAAATGAAATATTGTGTGATTAAAGTAGATTTATTGATCTATTTAGTTTTACTAAATTTTTGTTATATTCAGCTAACCTAATGAAAGCCATTAAACTTATATTGACTTGAGCAAAACATGAAACAAAAGACTTGAATGGAAAGCACAAAACAAAACAAAATCTCTCATCACTTTTAACCTTACATAATTGAATTGCAGGAAAATTAAAGTTAATGGTAATCTAGAGGATAATTAAGACGATAATCAACTCGACTCAACTCTGATTGCGTGATATTGGAAGAGGAAAAGCAATAAAGGCGAAAAGGGAAATCACAGGAAAACAAAAAGAAGGGTTGAAATGGATGAACCATGAAAGGAAAAATTTGTTCAAGACAAGTTACAGAAAAAGTTTACCTGGGAAATTAGAGATTCATCAACTGATCATTATCCAAATTGTACATGTCACCTCAACTGGTGCAACTTGAAGCCATTGGAAGACAATATCATGAAATACTCATGGAATCATGGTGATATTGAGGCTGGTCAATTAGAGTCAATTGACTTTTGTATAGGTTTTGCATCCTTCGAAGGCGTTTGTGCTCCTTTTCATCCTTTCCATTTCTCCTCCTCTTATAGTCTTGAATCACTTTACATGATTCCTGATTCGATGCAACATTTTTTCATTGTAATAACATTAAAAGATGTTTCCTGTTAAAAATGAATTCTGCTCGTTCTTGTGGAAGCAAATGAATCTTCTTTTGCTTCTTCTGTTTCAATTGGCCTGAATGTGTAAATGAGTCTTCTTGATGAGAGATGATGATGATTCCAACATGAAAGATAATGATGAACAGGACAAAGATATGTAAATGTGTAAAACTTTCATCTTCTAAAAATATAAATTCATCTTGACACCCAACAAAGCGAAAAGTTATTTTCTGCAAAAAGGCAACTCACAAAACTCTCAAAATACCTATCATTTTAATCATCACTAACAATTTATCAATAATCAATAATCAATAATCAACAGAAAAGTGATTAACTTTGATGGGTCAACATTCATGCAAGTAAATGAATAATGTTAATTAATTTATTTTACCTTTTGATAAATCATTGAAATTGGTTGAAAGGTTAATCAGTTGCAAGACGGCAAAACAAGATTCCTAGAGTCTGGTAAAGCATTTTATCTTGTATCAAGATGAACAGCAAAAGATAAAGATGAACAATGAACACGATAATCTAGATGAAAGATTAGATTGGATTGATCGGGAAAGAGGTAAAAATGAAAGGTTGATGATTTGTGGTTGAGTTGATTATGTTAATCGGTTTCGAGTGTCATTAGCAAGTGATTAGCTTGATCAAGAGACTATTAACAACAATTGTATCCGTTTACCAATAATGTAGTTACACGAAAAGGAAGAGACCAAAAAAACGATGAAATTTTTGGTAAAAGCCTTTGGCAAAATGTTTCTCTTCTTCTTCTTCTTTTTTTTGGTTAAGAGTAAAGGCCAAGTGTCCAATGGTTGAAAGGGCAAAAGAGGCCAATGGATGTTAACTATAATCATGTAAGTTGAGTAAAGTATCATCAGCATGAGGTAAAAAACAATTTCCAGAGAAGATGAAGAAGAGGCCAAAAATGGCGAGGAAAAGATGAAAAGACAATCATTGCTACTGTAAATGGTGACCAGTGTTGACCAACAAGTGCAGGTTAAATGAGCAACCATTATCAGTTACACGGATCAATGGACATTTACTTTAGCTTTGTAAGTGTTACTTTGTTTTGTGTTTAGTTTGTGAATTGATTGTTGCTTAATGATGAATTGCTTTGAACAATTAACTTTGCAAAATGACTCGGCAAAAGTAAATAAGACAACAAGGCAACAAATCAACTGAATTCAAGTTAACAACTGATATTATAATCAACTCAAGATTAGGATTTACAGATAATTCATAATTGCTATGCCAACATGAAAAACTGGCCTTTTTCATGAATATTTTTGTTCCCAGTTTAACTTTTCTTTTTTGATTAACCTTTCATTAACAGTTGGTCAAGCTATAGCTTCTGATTTGGTCAATAAATATTAACCTTTAAGTTAATCATTGCGTGAGTTGTTTTAAATGAAACTTTTTCTGTTCAATTTTTCGTTCCAGTTTTGATTGATTTTATTTTTCGTTGCAAAAAAACAATTGAGTTTCCTACAATCAAATGGTTTAATTGTGATAAATCATTTCAACTTTAATTATTAGATAATTTTATAATTTCAAAATCATTCATTTCTTTGAATCACTTTCACATTTGTTTTAATATTTAAATTGCTCTTTTGATTAATCATTTTTCCTTTTTTATTAACTTTCATTGGATTAAATTTAAATTAGTTTAGTCTGTAAAGATTGATTGATTGAATGTTAATCAATTGTTTGGAGGAGTTACAGTTAACTAATCAATTGGGTGTTTAATTGATAGCTAAAAGAGTTTGTTAATTTATGCAAAGTTTGATTAAAGTAACTTCAATCTTTATATTTACACCCAAATTAACCATTAATGTTGCTATCAAAAAAGATTCAAATTGAGTTCAATTAACACATGGAATCAGTTGAAATTTAAATGTTGCCAGTTGACAGCAAAATGTTAATTTTGGGTATTAAAGGTCAGTTAAATTTAATCAAATCGTTAAATTGTATAACCTGGTGATGCTTCAAATTAGTCAAATTATAGTTAACTAACATTGTTAATTAACACAGTTTACTGAAAAGACAGTGATTGAGTTGATAAAAAAATCAAAATGAAAATGATGCTAAAGTGAGAATAGGAAAACCTATTGAAAGCAATGGAAATCGTGAAAATTTTGTCTTGAAAATTGGCCACTCGGGATTGGCCCTCGAGTTTATATCTCATAACTGCACGATGCAGTGGTTCAACTATCACTTAATTAGCTTCTTCTTCGCTGTATTTAAATTGTCGTTAGAAGAAGCAAATGTTTTTTTGCAATTAGAATCAGTTTGCAAAGACAAAACAATCAATTTGAAAAAGAAACAAAATATCAACATTTTTTTTCAGTTGAAGTACAACAAAAGTTGTTGGTATTCCCATTAAAAGGCTGTTGTGAAGATGAAAAAAAGAGACTAAAGTTGAAAGCAGAAATGCATTCAGTGACACAATTAGTGGCTCCATTAATTACAATATAATCGAGTGTAATAATCAATTTAGTTATGGATGCATTTTTTCATAACAATTATCCATTCAAATGGCCACCAACAAAGTAGCTAACTGGCAAGTAACTTTCAAAAAGAGAAGCGAAAATAATCTGAAAAAGAAGACAAAAAAAGACGATTCAATTACAACAAAATCATGAACCGAAATCAAATTAAAATCGTTAATTTAGCAATTTAAAATACAAATTGTTAATCCCAATGAAACATTGAATCACTTGGAAAAGACAAGTTAAGGTAAAATTGAAAATGAATGTAAAATCATTTCATAGTAATATTACACTCTATAAGCTGAAAGTGATGGGACAGGAGTGAGGCTGTTAGGTTGCAAGATGAACGACTAAGGGTCTGAGTTACAATTGATTTGATGATGAAAATGACTCGGAACAAGATGAAGCTGAAGATGGGGAAAATGAGGAAGATGTTTGTTTCCCAATTGATAATTATGGCTTTTATTTTTGTAGCAAAACTGTAACTTGTCAATTGGTCTGTTAGAGACAAAAGATGATAATGATGATGATGGGAAGAGAACTGGTAAGACGAGATCTCTGAAGATGAAGAGGTGATCCATCATCAAATTACTCCGTCATTTATAGATAGTTAGTTAAATTGTTATGCCTCAATAGTAAGCTTCCAAATTTTTGTTCAATGAAAAGCCAAACTCAACTCATAATGATGATGCTGTTGATGTTTAAGATCCTCTTCCTTACACCAACAGTTCATTCATAAGATTTTTTTTTCTCTGTTTTTTTTCATCTTCTCCCTCATCCTCTGATGATCACCATCCTATCCCATGTTGGTGTTAATTTTAACAGCAATAAATGAATCAACAAATTCAACTTGAAAAAATCTATTGATCCATGAAATTTGAACAACAGCAACAACAGCGAGTAAAACTAATTGACTCATCAAATTAAACCGTTTAGATCGTATAAAAGGCAATTTAACATTAAATTAAAAATGCAATTAAATTGCATCTCCATCTACCGTCTGTGAGTTAACAGTTAACAATAAGCCAACAATTAAACAACAAAAGATTGGATTCTTTTTTTTGATTCGCTTTTCACCATCAATCAGATGATAAGCTTGTCCGAGCACAATCACCAAATCATATGTTTAACATGATAATTATCATTGCAATTATCAAACTGATTATCACATCTCATCGGATTTATCCTTTTCTTCACCAACAATTTATTTCAACCATTAACCTGATTGATAGACTGACTGTTACTGTTTAACTTAACGTACCAATAAATATCAAAGTAAAGCTAATTTGGAGCAATAATAATAAATAATGAGATAAATTGTGATTTACCTCTATTACAATCATCACTTGCTTGGACTCTTTGTATATTAGTTGACATTCAATGTCTTAACCATTCAAATGAATTGTGATTAATGGGACAATTTAATTGAAATATAAATGCTCATTGAACAAGATAAACAGTGAAGACTGGATAAAATGAAATTTACCTTCAAATGGTTCAACTGTCAAAACAAGTCAAAATATTGTCTTCCATGTAAACCCTCAGAATCATCATAAGACTTCAGTTATCGGCAAATTCAATCTCATTGCTGTCTTCATCATCAAACATTACCTTTCAATCTTAATTTTAAATTTTCTTCATAATCAAATAAAGCAATTTTAATGTCACTTTTAATGGTTTTAACCACTGATTTGTCGTTGTTTATTGCCACAAGCAGAAAGCATTTGTCAAGACTCAGAAAAATTGAAAGGCATCTTTGGATGAAAATCAACAAAAGAAATGAAAAAAAAACATTAAAATAAACTCATAAAGATATAAAGTAATGATAATTAACCGCAGAGACCACCAATTAGATGAAAAATAAGCCAATACAATTAAGTTACATGCAACTTCAATAATGATCAGTAAAGTTTACCTCAACGATTATCAATTGCAAATTACTTTAAGCGAATCAAATGAGCGTGAAAATGTGCATTAATCATCCCATTAGCGTAATAATAATCATAATAATGATGATCATTATTAAATTACCAAATATTGTCAAAAATTGAACACAAAGCAAACAATTGAAAAAAAAACCTTTTGCCTTTGAAAACACTTTTATAATCTTGATGGACATCTTAAAGTCTTTAAATTGTTACTAAATGAGCTTTTGTATCCACACCTAATCATCAGCTGTTTCACCTCATCATTGACTCCTCTTCATGGGAAACATGGCTTTGATGGCCACACGCATGATAATAATAGGATGAAGATGATCTTGCTGTTGACTTAACATTGAATCTCATGATCAGTATCATGATCCTTTTTGATCATCTTCATTCATCTAGTTTCTCACTCCTCGCCTCATTGACACTGCTTCATCTCAACAGGATGTCTCCACATCATTTTGGCAGATAATTTTGAGAAGCATTTCAACTTAAGAAAAAGTGATTCTCTTCTCATCTTTTGCCATCTTCATCTTGAACCTCAATTTCCTGTTCCGATTGGCTCCTTTTCCTTGGCTCCTTTAATCTCTCGTCCCAATCAAACTGATTACCCAGCAAGCCATGTCAAACATCATTTGACTCTCGAAACCCAACAATTATTGTTATCATCACCATAATTAACCGAGCATTTGGTTGAAAAACAATTTACACAAAAACGCCAAGCCAAACACACCCACACAATTTAACATTTGGTTTGACCTTAAATTGTTTCCATTGTTTCCAATTTAACTATTAGTTGCTGCTAATTGAATCTTTCAATCAACGATCTTTCAAGTTTAACCTTTCAAACTGACCAATGTTGTGGTGACAAAAACATGTTGATCAAAGATGATGTTCAATGAAAAGTTGAAAATAATGTAATCAGATACTCTTTTGCCTTTCATCTGAGTTTTCCTTGCAAATTGGATCATGAAAACTTGCTAAACTTGTGTTTCATGAAAATGATGATGTTTTTGGATGATTTTTAAGATGTTTTCATGATGACAATCTTGTTAATTAGCAGCAGAAAAAAAGAGAAGAAGAAAAAATGTTTGAAGAGGAGTTAATGAAAGGTAAAAAAACCATTGGCATTGGCTTTTACCTGTTGTCTTTTACAGTGAAAGCCAGAGTCAGATTAAGATAAATCTCGGAATCATTTATCAATTTAAATTATGGATAAAGTCATAAGCAATTCAAGTTAATAATTTACGTGAAAGTTAACCATTTTCATTGCTAATAATGACTTTAATGTTGACAGGTGAAAATGTTTCAAGACAAATATTTTTCTGTCAGCCATTGATATTGACATTAAATGCAGAAAAAAAAGGAAAGCCATTCAATTGGCAAATCTAAAGGCAAACCAATTGATTAATTGAACAATTTGGAAACTCGGATTCGTTGTTAATCCATTCAAATTCAATCGCTTTCTTGGTTTACTTTGATACCGTAATCAAGAGCATAAACTGTCCAGTTATTTGAAGTTATTCATTTTAATTGGTTTCGTTTTATTAATTTTGCTTCTGCTTTCAGCTTGTTTAATCAACATTTCAGTTGACAACCAATTTTAACTGTAATTTGATATGTAACTTTGTTTAATCCAAGGCTGCTTGCTGAACCTTTCAACGGTTTTTACCTTTAATCTTTACCTTTCTTTCAACCTTTGGCTAACGTTAATGATTAATTAAATTTCAGGCTTGAAACTGAATTAATTATGAAACCATTTTTTGTCTCTCAAACCTCAATTTAATCTCATCGCAATTTGAAACACACACACAAACTCAACATAAATCAGTTTTAGCTAATGTTGTCTTTTTTACCTTTAAGGTTAAGACGAGAAAATTATGCGAAAGTTAATCCAAATTGAAAAATGCTGAAAAGAGCAATGTCAATTGACTAGCATAAATCATATTTCACTGGAATACATATTTACCTTTAAGTTTGCTTTCATTTCAATGGTAACTGATGATTCAGATTGACGTTTCTTGCTAGTAAAAGTAACATTGAAACGACCTACTGATGCTAGAAGACCCAAGATAGATAAAAGATGAAAGACTTCGGAACTTGATGAATTTCACTGAGAATCAGAAGCCACATCAACAGCTCTGTTAACCCTGTTAACATACATGTAGTTGAATCTCATCTCTTTCAACTTGGCTGCAATTTTACTGCTAATTTTACTAATGATTTTCAGTTCTAAAAATAACACAAGTTTTTATCATGACTTTCTCAAGAACTGAATTCCAAATTTTCATTATATTGGTTGGAAACAGGGAATAAACAATTTGTTTCTGCCATTGATTTGAACCCAATTATGCCTTCAATGACCATTTTAAAGGTAACATATGGTACACTTTTCATTGCCTTATCGTGTCAACTGTCAATTATAAGATTTAATTATGAAACGTTTAATAATCTGAATGATCCTTTAATAAGTAGCTGCTAATGGTTTACACTTAATAAACATTGATGACAGTCTTTACCCAATAATGGTTACTATCAGTGCAACAAAAGGATGAGTTAGCTTTTGCTTTGATCAATAATTATGGTTAACCTAAACAATCAACAATTAACTAATCAAGGCATCATTAACTAAGGTTGTCATAGTGAATAATTAACAAAATTAGAGTGAACAATCAAAAGGAGAGCTTCAAGTAGCTAGCAATTTATCTCAATAAATTACTAGTTTCTTGAAAAACAGCTTTTTAATGATCAAACCTCCTCTTCAAACAGACATTTATTTTTCATAATAACTTCAATGGTAGATTCAACGTTTTAAATGAGATTGTAATTGTTACTCAAATTAAGCAAATCCAATTGAATTGAAATTAACAAATCAATTTGATTTAATTTCCATTTTCTAATCAATAACCTTATTTTTCTTATTATACTTTATAACAATCCAAGTCTACAATCAATGAAATTATGATTGGTACCAAAAATCATGGCAACAATTTAACCAAATTGCGATAATGTATTGAATGCGTTGCCATTCATTGAATAACAATGACTACAAATGAATATTGAAATGCAATATTATAAAGGAAAAGCTAATTAAGCCAATGGTGCTGATTAACTAAATTACTTATTCATCTAAATTGTATTCATTTGTAGCTATTTAACTGGAAACAGTTAGCGTGACGGTTTACTGTAAAGGTGAAAAACTCATTTTTTTTTTTGGCTGATCATCTAAATTGCTGTTGATTGTAAATAAAAATATTGTTTAGCTGATGATGATGATAGCACTTATTTTTCAATCACAACACTTTCAATGATGATTTACGTGACTATTGGAATCTATTTGGCCAACAATCAATGGTAACCCTTCATATTAACTGGTCCATTAGCTTTTACATCAGCCAACCATTATTAAATTGTTGATCATTATTGTTGAAACATCTTTTTGTTTGGTCAATTTGTTCATTGTTAAGAAATTTGTTTCTCCTTGTTGTTCATTTCAATGAAAAGCCATTTTCATGGTTCCTCTTGAAACACCTTATTTTGAGTCACTTTTGCGATTATTTCTTTTACTTTTCAACTCAATTTACAATACACATTTTTTAGGCCTACTCTATGATTATGGTTATAATCATTATTAACAATATTTGCACCTTAACTATTTACTATTAAATCATTTCTATCAACAGCCTAACACATTAATTTTATTGCCTTTTGGCGTCCATTTGAAAATCGGTTTCGCATCTTTTTTTGCCATTTTGACCTTTTCGCCATTAACATTATGATTGGTCATAATTGAAATTAATTTGCCCATTTTTTGGCTCTTTCATTAGCTATTTTCACTTCATTCAATTACTACTTTGATAATAGCTTGTTGATATAGCCTGAGACAAATTGCTGTTATATTAATATAAACTGGATTGGTCGGAATTACATTGAATTTGCTTGTTAAATTTGATTTACTCGTCAGATTTATTGTAACAAAATTGATGCATCAATCGGTACATTTTTGTTTACACCTTTTAACAATTTACAATCAAATTTCTTTTCATTGGTTTGCATATAATTCAAGTATTCAAGATTTTCACGTTTATTCAAATAACAGGTGAGTCTGGAAGCAGAAAAAAACGATTTGATTTCAATTGAATTATAGAAACAGATAAATCTTTGGCTTCCAATTTTGTCATTTCAAACGATTAATAGATAAAGTAAAATTTTTCAATTGCTTTGATCAAATTATAATTATACGAAATTGGAGCTTTGAATTTGACTGTTAAAAAGTGTTAGAAATGGTGACATAAATAAAAATTTAAATATATATATTTATATTTTTATATTGAATCGATATTTTTAATTAACAAACTAAATTGGAGCAAATTTTCGCCAAAATCGAAAAAATTAAATAAATTTTAATCAATATTGAACGCAAGTTTACCTAAGAATATTTGAGTTTGTAAATAGAAACGGCCAATATGATTAGACTAAAACAAAATAAAGTGATCGATATTATCAAGGCATTTCTAATAGTCATTGGTGTGTTGTTGTTCATTCGGATGCTAATTTCTGGCGATGCATCGGTGGAATCAAAAAGAAGTCCATATCTTGGTGTAAATGTTGGTGATGGAGAGAGGTCTATAGTCGGAGTAGTGGGATCATCTACAGTTGGAATTATTCTTTTCATTATTCTACCATGTTCTGGTTTCTTTTCTGAATCAAGTTTCAAAGGACTCGGTTCTTCTTGCCAGCCTCCACGTTTCATCTCTAAGGCCAACTCTTCCAATTCCTTTTTAATATCAGTTCCAGGTCTGGTTATTCGGCGCCGATTATACAGACTGGGTCTTATTGTTCGCCGCTCTTTCTGTCGACGCTCAACTTCAGATTTTCTTTCTTCCTCAATATCGTCAAGCCATGCAGTTAAATCCTCTCTGTTACGAAGCTCATCAAGATTACGATTGATTTCGGGTGATGCTGTTTCACTACCACTAATCGATGGTGTGAGGGGTGGAAGTTTGGTCTTCTTTTTGTCTTTCTTTTTGTCATCCTCTTTGGTCTTCTCAGTATCAGATGAGCCTCCAGGTTTATCGGACATAATAATATCTAGAAATTGAAAAACACGTTAATAAATTAATCTATTCACAGTAAAAGTATAACTAATGAGCTTGATCAACAGCTTGATCATTTAAATTATAATATCCTCGTGATATTGATAGATTTAAGTTTGCTGCTTGAATCAAATCCCATTAGTAATTTCTTGAGGAACGTTTAACAATATCAAACAATCCTTTACAATAGTTTAAAATGAAAAAGGTATTCACTTTAGAGGTTACAGTTCTTTATCTATCTATGATATTCCATATTTTTTATGATTCTGATCATTCCATAACGATTTTTGATCCTTGAGCTGGTGAAAAAATTGGAAGCACAATGAGCATTAATCAGGTTTTTTAATTTGACGAACCAAAATTGTACTTTCACTCCAAGTTTCGTCGCTGAGAACAAAATTGAAAAGAATATTTTTAATGATAATTTATTGTTGATACAGAGTTTTTAATTTAAAATTGTTATGTTTATATTTCGATTTTAAAAATCTGTCTTTTCAATTAAAGTTTTCGCAACTGAACAGACCTTACCTTGAATCACCCTGATTAGGACTAACTGAGGGATTGATTGCTGGTGATGTCATCATTTTGGACACTTTCCTCCGGCTTCTTGGTTGAACAATTATATCCGCGTCCTCTGAATCTCCAGTTGTTGGTAAGCTAAAATTATTTTAAATGAAATGAAATTGTATTACATTGTAAAAATAAACGCAATTTGATTTACTTATGATTCCGGTGTACCTTTGAGATGGTGATTTCAATTTGGCTCTTCTATCATACCAAGATTTACCATGACCTCGTCCTGACCTGATGGTATCAAATGAGAGTGCAGTGTCTGAGATTGACATTTTCCTTGACTCTTTCCCTAAATTGGTTGCTCTGAAAGATTTTGTCCAACCCTTCGAAGACTTATTATGGTCATCATACCTTTCAGAATCAAGTCTCCTTAAACTTCCTCTTGGCGATGCTGACTTCACTCCCCTTGGACTGGGTGGACATGGACTGTACGCATTCAAACTCCTAGTTGAATGCATTGTCGCCATTAATTCATCGTCATTAGTGGAAAGGTATGATTCAGATGAAGATGAGGAGGACGTTGAAATGGGAGATGATTTGTCTTTTGATCGCACACCTGAAACTCCTTGCTGTTGATCACCATAATAGCGTCTCATTGGAAATGAATCTGTACGAGTCATTGGTCGATGTCTATTAACATTGCCTCCTAACCCGCAGCTTGCTCTATTTGATTTGTTGGACGAAGAGGAAGATGATGATGTGGCCATTGCTGGTTCACACAGACTTTGGGAACTTTTAGATGAAACGTGATAAACTGACTTCTTTGAAGAAAGACGACGATTGAATCGACTACGTCCTGGAGATCTAAGCTCACGGAAAGTATAGTCGTCGACTGCTACCATTTGCATATCAGTCTCATCTGAATCAGATGAAGTTGTTATCGATTTAATCAATCCAGGCCAAGAAGGATTCCTTTGAATTGGAGGTTTAACACGCATCATTGGACTTCGAGGACGTTGTTGAGCAATATGTGAGGTTAATAATGATCCTGAACTTGCTTTGGTTAAACCTGAACCAGTTCCATATAAAAGTAACTCATCGCTTTCACCCATAACATAATCATCTAAGGATAAAGTATTATTACCTGATTTGTTCCTAATAGCTTGAGCTCTTGATTCCCTTAAAGAGCTTGGTGGAACTCCTATTGTTTTATGGATTTGCTTCATTGCCAAAAGTCTTTCTCGTTTAGCCAATAAAGTTGGTGGAACACGAACATCAGATAATTCTGAACCTGAATCGGGTTCAAGTCTCTCAGGGCCTCCGTATACTACTTCACTCATAAAAAGACTTCCATGACTCGAAGTCCCGGGACTTAACGGATCTTGCATGGATGATCTCCTTGGACTAGATGGACCTGAATTTTCACCGATACATTTCAAGTTTTCTCGACTCTTCATGATTCGACGTTTAACTGAGGAAGAGTTTCTAGGTGCATAATTGACTGCTGGAATGGTCAAGAAATTACCAAAATTTGAGCTTTTCTTAAAATGAGGTGGCTGCTGTTGATTTGGTAATCTAACTCGTCCAGATCCATCTGAGATGGAGCCAGGAGGGACATCAATAGATTCTGGTATGAAGACACTTTGTAAATTTGTATCTACTCCTCCGATTTCATCCAAAATAGGTGAAGATGAATTGGTTCGTGAAATTCCTGGTGATGAAAATGATGAATATCCTGAGGTGCTTAAATTTGATTCTGAAATGGTATGAGCAGAGACAGCCTTCAACTCAGGCTGTAAGCCATGGCAGTGACTAATTTGTCCACCATCATCATTATTAATTGTTATTTGAGGAACAGTCAACTCTAAAGAGTATTTTCTTCCATTGGATTCTAAAGAAGGCCGATTTGACTCCATTTTGTAATTTTTAGCCTTATTTTGTCTCATTTCAGGAGGAATACAAGGTGGTTCGGATAATCTTCTCGCTGCAAGTGATTCATTTGCTGGCGATAGTGAGTGTTTCCTGTCATCATTATTTCTATCCATATCTTGACAGAAACCATGATCAATAGAGTCAATGTAACTGTCTTCATTTCGTCGTTCACCATGAGGTGACCCTGCATTGTTATTCCTATGATATCCTTTACCATTAACATCTAGTTCTTCCCCTTCATTATCATTATCATCATCATCTGGGGAATCGATTCGGATCTCATAACCAGTAATAATCGTTGGCGAATGTCTTCCTGGCCCTGGTATTGGAGGTAATTCAGAATCTGAAATGTCCTGATATTCAACTGATGCTCGAGTCACCATTATTTCAGGCACAGTGATATGATTGGGTGATCCCGAGTCACTCGAACTTGATAAATCACTAGGAGGTCGACGTGGTGAAGGGCTGCGTTTTATACGAAATGATGATCGGGGTCTTGCAATGAGACCGCCATTTGATCCTCCACTTGAGCTTCCATTGTTAGCATCTTTATCTAATCGAAGGCATGACTTGGAAATGCTTTGAATATGTTCAATATTTGTTAAAATACCTTCAACCTCAGAATCTTGAGTCATTAGCTTCTCTAATCGCTTAGAGTGTTCAACCTCAATAATTGAATTCAACTTTGGACTGTATCCTTCTGACATGGAAGTTTCATGGTATTCTTGATCTTCTTGTGAGTTTTCTCGAATCGCATGAAATTGAAGGCGAGAAAGAGCTCGAGCTGACATTACTGCATGTGATAATGATGATGATGATTGAGGATTTACAAAAAGATCGTAAGATTTCCTGGAAGAGACGGGTGACAATTTCTGCTCGGCATCAGAAGAGGAATCTTGTGTGGCTTGTTGACCTGATCGCAAATCGAAAAGAGCCGCTTTTTTACTGCGAATTTTTGATTCACTTAATCGTATGAAGTCATCAAGGCTCATCCTTCTTTCCTTTGATTTAAGGCCACCTGAGACAAGGCTTGATAGGATTCGAGATTTTTCATCTCGTTCAAATGATGATACAAGGCCAGAAGCTGAATTACCCATTGATTTTGATGAAAAGAATAGCAAAGGAGGAAATTTTCGTCTTGAGCTACCAAAACCACTACCTCCTGTTCCAGAAGTAAGTTCGGTATCTGAGTAACCATCGTCCTTTTCTTTTCGATGGGCAACCTCAGAATCTGATAAATGACCAGCATTTGATGATCTTAAACCACGTTTACAGATACGTCCAATAATAGATGATCGCGATCTGGGGAGAGGAGGACTTCTATTGACTGGAGTTACATTTACAGATACTCCCAAGTTCGATGTTAAACTGTATCGGTGACCACCTGAAGTCATATCGGTTAATCCAAACGCTGTCAAGGTTTTGCTTTTTTCAATTTCTTCTTCGAAAAATTTCTCAATCTTTTCAGCAAATTTCTTTTTTAAACAATATACAAGAGATATTAAAGCCAAAACAACAGCCACTGTAATCAATCCAAGCCAAAATGGTTCCTCAAGCATTCGTTGACTCAAGGGTTTATAGTGGATATGAAGTCGAAATTTATCACAAAAACGGCCTAAAGAAAAGATTGGATGGTAGAAATTAGTAATAAAGAATCTCTTTTCTAATAAAGTTTCAAAATCATACCCTCCAACCAAGGTGGACATTCACAGACTGGATTTCCATTAATTAATGTGCATTTTCCCGAATCACCACAAGGATTGGTTCGATCACAGGTACCAACCGAGTCACGACAATTACGACCAGTAAAACCTCTATTACAATGACAAACATAGTCGTTTGTCTCGAAATTTATTTTACATACACCATTGTTGGAGCAAACATTAAGATCACACAAAGTTAAATGGCAAAACAATCCAGTCCAATAAGCTGAACATTGGCACAGTGATATTGGTTGACCTGAAGATGTTGTTCGATTAACACAGATACCATTTGAGCTGCATGGATTATAAATACAGGAGTCCACTGGATAATCGCGAGCGAGAAATTTAGTTTTATTCAACAAAAAAGGATCTAAATGATTGAATAGAAAAAAGATATTTTTATAGGATTAAAAGATTTTTTTAAACAGATTGAAAGTATGAAATTGTGTAAATAATTGTATCAAATCTTGTTTAAAATCATACTTTACCTGAATCTGTTTTATAAATCAATTGGAATGTATGACCAGAGTCTGTTTCATGGTTACTCGGACTCAGATTGGAAATCAGTATTTTAAGAGTGTGAAATCTTGAAATAAAAGTACGATAATCTGCCAAATTATTTTTACCATTTTTAGATAATTTACAAAGTGACCAAATATTGGGCGTCGGAGGATTCAAATCGGTTGATCCGTATGAATCTACCAAAGATATTGAAAAATCTTTGAACAAGCTGAATGGGGAACAGGGATTTGATGTGATGGCCATCTGACTAGATCTGGAAGCACGTAATTCAATTTTAAATCCAACCTGAGTCCTCAGATAGACAGTATAGTTCAGGTTTGATGGAGCTTTGTGCGGATAGTTCATACTTGTTAGCCGGCCAAATGTGTTGGCTTGGAGATAGAGAATAGTAGGAATGGTTTGTAAGCGTGTGACTATTTCATATTTGAACTTGAAACCACGAAAATTTTGAAACGGATTGTGAAACTTTCGTCGGCGTGTTTGATAGTGAATTTTAAGAGTATTATCATAGGATAGAAACTGTTGACCAGTAAGAAGATCTTTATTTTCAATTGAGCCGCATAAAGTTATATTCCTAGTGCCATCTAATTCAAGAAGGAGATATTCGGAATTGGAGGATAACCGATTTCGACATCGATTATCACGAAGTGTACGCTTGGCTTGTCCAAGATTAAAATCAATAAGTGTAAGCAGGATCTAAAATGAAAGAGAAAGAATTTAGGGTTGTTGGACACATTAAATCATTTGAAAGATGTTTTGATGTTCTATTCCTAATCCCTTGGAATAAATGCTACAATAATGATAATGATATCATAAATAATTCAGAAGTTCAAAGTCTTGATGCGATTTAGACATTAATTCCTATAAATACTCTAGTAATGTAATTTAAATTGGAAAACTAATTTTGTTTAAGATGTTTATTGAATTATATTAAATAAATTAATATAACGTCTCTGAGAGTGCTTATAGATTTAGCATCACGAACTATATTATGAGAAGCAATCAAACTTACCAGATTATCTTTAGGTGCAACCAGAATAAATGAGCAATTGAGTGAAGGGAGACTCCAATTGGGGTAACCTGGAGATTCGATGAAGCCAGTTTTATTGATTGAAGTGATCGTTAAAGGTCTAGAACACCAACTCGGATCTATTATACGCCAATTGAGCTTGAATCCAGTTCCACGATTTGAGTAATCCGTATGAAAATAAATGGTTACTCGAGGAGACTTAGAAAAGTATGTTAAATTATTTAGATGATCACCAGATTCAATAAGACCACAGATACGTTCCTTGGAACCAAGACTTGTTTCAATTATCTCTAAATAATCGTAGAGGCACTCTTGTTGCCATTCAATTTCAACAACATCGAACCAGATGACAATGACTGAATGACGGTCCAAGCTTGTGATATTCACATGATAATTTAAATTGTTCAAATAAAGTCCAGGGTAATTGGGCGAATCCAAAGATCCATTTATTTGATTAGTTAAAGTCAAATTGCGAACTTCGCTTAAATCTATTAGAGTCAAGCCATCAGAAATTGAAAAATGAACATAAGACGAATATTAATTAAAAATGAAATAAATTAGAGGTTGTATTCAGATTCAAGATTTGTGTTTTCAATCAATGCTTAATAAATTAAAACAAAGAAACGGTTAATTTAAAAAAGGGGATGGAAAAGATGTCCCTTTTAAACCTTTTTTAACAATAGAGATGGCGCTCTTACAGCTAAATTACCAATTTTTCCCTTTTAATAATTGTGATATTTTAGTTTTAATTCAATTGAGTTTACCAAATCTAAAATTTGTTGTTTTATTTGTGATTTCAATTAAAATTGAATAGTTCATGCATCTACCAATTCCATCAAATAGTTTGATCTTTATTCATTCGTGTCAGAAACAATCAAAGTAAAGTCCGACTCAATCAATATTCAATTTTGTTAAGAACCGTTGCCAAATCAAATAGACTTGAATAAAAATTGCCAACCAAGAGACTCAGGTTCATTTTTGATTGCATCTTCCATTTCTCAACAATTAAATCGACCTAAACAAATGATATTTGCAAATTACCGACTATAATTCGTCAATTTACACCAGAGATCAAGCGTTTAAGCTAAAAAAATAAACATGGAAAAACTCCAACTGGGATGGATCAAAAACAATTAGGAGACAATTGAAGATTGAGAACAATTTCACTGCAACCAAAAGCAAAAAGAGACCATCCATTTGATTCATTGGAGTAATTCAATTCAACTCAATCTTATCATCCATTAAACACATGGGAAGGAGATGATAACTGAAATCCAAGTCCAAAACCACTGAAAACCTCGGAAAATAGGAAACATTACATATCAAAAACTGCAGAGGAATCTAAAGAAGAAACAAAATATCTCATTGATTGAGCTTTACAACAATACGAGATAATAAACAGTTATTCAACATTCCCTGACCTTACCAATCACAAGACCCTTTATTATTTGTAATCTTAAAACGACCATTTCTGTTGTGATTTTAGTCTATAATTTTGTATAAGGTTAAAGATTAATAAACGAAGAAACTCTATCTGAATTTCAACTCTGGCTTATTTATTTTCAAATGAAATTACCTTAAACAACCTAATTGAATAAATTAATTAGTTAAATTGCTTGACTTGATTGTAAATATTTTCAATGTTAATTCTTGTCAACATTTGCACGTAACCTTTTTGACAAAAATATTACCTTTTCCAAGAGCTCTGAAGCAATTCAATGAATCTCTTTGTGTTTTCATTTCAAGTTGGTTTTTATTTTGTAAACAAGTAAACATTACATGTTGGTATGTAAATTAATTGAACAACTGTGAATCGTGATATGAATCACCAAACAAATTACGTTTCCTGATTAAATAGATTCAACCTAAATGGTTCAACATTTCTCTATATTGCCATGATTACAATCCATTTTTAGTATCGATTTTGAAAAATGCTAAACTGACCAACAATGGAAAGAAAACTTGAAATTGATTGTGATCATGTATTGACATGTAATCTTTATGATGATACAAGTGACATATTGATCAGATTCAGTGATAGATGTGAAATAACAAAGGATGAACCTAATGTTGACAGAAATACAACGACATGAAAAAAAGATATGAATTATTGGTTCAACCTTTTCCATTGCTATTTGCTTTTCACTCAACCATTTGTTGGTCATTTTTTGTTCAATGGGTCAAGATGAAAGTTGACAATTACTGTGCAAACAAATCTCAACCGTTTCCCAATTTACCTGGAAAATTGAGTAATGATTCTATTCATAGCCATTTCTTATGAAAACTGTGTGTCCAAAGAGAGACACCAATCAATTATGCTTTCAAAATTATTAATCTGTTGGACTTGGTTAACATGAATCTCTCATGAAATGATGATGTTAATCAAATTGATAAATAAACTGCTACATATTGATATAATCAGTCATGCAAATGTGAACCTTGTTGGTTGACAATCAATCAAAAGAAACTGTTTCAGCTTATTTAATAAGATTGTCAATCGTCTTTCAATCCTTTCAATAGGAACATTTCATTCAACTAATGGAAAATGCTTTCTCCAACTTCATAGGAATGTAAAACCATTGTGGCAACAAATTCAATTGAAACTATTAGGTGATCCAAATAAGCCTGTAACCCAAAATTGCCAAAATTCTGGTCAATCAATATTCAATGAGAGAAATGTTGGAAATTTTCCAGTTTAAATAAATTGTGTGTTAAAGTGAATGACTAAATGAATTGATGACAATATTGATGTTCATTTGGCGAAATGAATCATTGAATGTGGAGTATTTTTTGATTACCAGAAAATGAGGAAAATATTGAAAGTTTACTTACCAACTGATTTTTTCTTGCATATATATCCAGCTTGGTGATTACATTCAACTGATCGATATTCAATATTTCGATTAGATAAATCAATTGAGAAAATATTGCACATTTTTCTGTTTTCTTGATATTCTTCATTCATTTCAGTTGGACCAAAAGTCTCACCAACCAACTTGTCGGATAACCAAACATTGGAAGTTTTACTGGATCCAAATTTAATGCCCTTGGCTAGTATCGATCGAAACTGACTGCTATTTTTGTTACTTGAAAGGGTGGTTGAGGTGGAAGTAAATGGAGAGACCTGTTGACGTTGGCGATTATTGATCAACCCAGTGACAACACTGTTACCCTCTTCATCTTCAAAGCTGGGTAAAAGCTCTTGGGTTGCGAAAACTGAATTTTTGGGTTGAAGGATCCAAAAGGCTCGCACAGGTCTTGAAAGGTCACTTGAAAATCTATCAAGATTTGTGGCAGTGAAAAAGTCGATAACTCGTCGTTCATCATCATAATCACGAATAACCAAAATCTCAGAGTCAATATCATTGCAAATACGGCGAGCTGTTGTCCAAGAAACTTCAGGGTAAGATGAGACTAGATAACAATCGCCTTCAAATGGTTGAAACATTTTATCATCACAAAGCGTTCGACTTTCAGGGTTGGAGGGAGATGCAGAGGATGAGAAAGAACTGGTTACTTTGGGTGAAGACGAGGATGAAGCTGGTCGACTAGCTACTGCATCTGGTAATAATCTGACTTCTCCTCGAAATCCTCTGTAAGTGTGCGATTCATCGGTAACCAAATCAAGGCGAAGATGTTTACCAACAGTTCGTAAAAGCTTAATCTTTGAATTGTAGTCACCACAGTAATGCGAGGAGGAGATTAATGATGACTCGTGATGGTGGTTATGGGATTTGGATTTCAAATAATTAGAATAACTTCGGATATTTAGATAATCGTATTGGCAACTAGAAAAGCAAAGACAATATTAAAAGGTTAAACGTTGGTTTTGTTTCAATGGTTAAAAGGGTTTTATTAAACTTACTTTGGATCACCTTCTTCCAAAATAAAATCAGTAAAAATAAGCTCAACAAGGTAATCATCATTTGATGAAATAGTAAATGTACAATTTAAATTATTTGGATATGGATTTGGATAGCCTGGTGTTGTTAAAACTTCCCAGTTATGCTGGATACTTAAGATTATATCTTTACCACAAGACAAAATGTTATTAACTGGATTCTCCTTTGTTTCAACTGTACCTGTTGACAAAAGGGTAATAAATGTTATTAAATCAAAGGATCAGTGGACAAACAAAAAGCTAAGCCAAAAGGTTTACCAAATATCAAGGATAACGAGGTTAATAGAAATTTACCTTCATTTTGCTGTTTATTTATTGGAACTTGGCAAATGAAAGCGTTCCTGGCTTCACATGAAATATCATTCCAATAATAATGATCACCCGTTGAACCAAAACCTTTGGACGCATATTTAAACTTATTACGGATCTCAACACAATCCTGGTCAGAGAAACCGTCATCACTCGGCTGTTTACCGTATTTAATGTTACTTCCCATCTTTTGCCAACCAGTAAACCAATCTAACCAGAAACAAACAATCCAAAATATGATTAAGATGCAAGATCAATGGTCAAACTACAAGCGAAAGCATAAAACCGAACGGTACTTTAAACCAAACCAAAAAGACTAAACACTGAAAAACTTTCATAAACAGACTAAAACAGTGCATAATGTTGTTACAACAAACCCAAATCAACACAACTATCTCCTTTACACACATATTGAAAACGGAGTGAAATAAATGGGCAACAGCGGCCAAATATTAATTTCTCACAAATAAAGACTCTTTTGGTTTGGAGAGACATCAAAACTGAGTCTATTTGTGGTGTTAAAACATTTCTCTGATGAAAAGTTCTCGAGAAAATCGAGTTGAAAGTTGAAACTTCGTTCGCTTTTTTTACGGTTATGGATTCAGATTTTTTCATGAAACTTCTGTCACTCAAGTAACCTTTAATGGCCAACCATAAAATGAAAATATTTTGATAAATATAATTTACTATTTTGTGTAAAACAGGTTAGTTCGATTTTCGTTTAAACTGACTTATTTCTGTGACCGTAAATTTTAGAGTTGTGAAAATGAATATTTGGACGTAAAAATTGTTGCTTCATATCATGAAGAGAATACTTTTTTCAGTGTATCAATAGTTTTCTTGATTTTGGCCTTTGGACTAAAAACTTTGAGTCTCATTATTTCGAGAATGGTTCAACTACAATCACCGTTCCTTAGCGAATCATTAGGTATTCTTATGGGCTACAACATGATATAACTTAATACCAAATAAAGTCTGCGCTAATTCATTGATAATCATCCGCGTTTGAGTAACCATTTAACTTTATAAATCAATTTTCGCCTCTGACACATGAATAAGATAACGCTATAACTTTTTTTGTAGGATCTTGAATGATTTCATTTTTTGAATATATCATAGTTGCTAATGAAGACTAATGAATAGTTAAAGAATGGTGATTGTAGTTGATACTGTTCTCGAAATAATGAGACTCAAAGTTTTTAGTCCAAAGGCCAAAATCAAGAAAACTATTGATACACTGAAAAAAATATTTTATCCATGATATTTAGAAACGATTTTTATGGATAAATATTAAGTTTCAATCCCCTAAATTTTACGGTCACAGAAATAAGTCGGTTTAAATTTCGATCGAACTAACCTGTTTCACACAAAATAGAAAATTATATTTCTCAAAATAAGTTCATTTCATGGTTTGTCATCAAAAGTTACATAAGTGACAGAAGTTTCATGAAAAAATCTGCTTCCATAACCGTACAAAAAGCGATCGAAGTTTCAACTTCGAACTAGATTTTCTCGAGAACTTTTCATCATAGAAATGTTTTAAAAGCACTAATGGACTCAGTTTTCATGTATCTTCAAACCAACAGAGTAATAATTTGAAAGAAGTTAATATTGGCCCGTTTAAGCATAAATGTGCAATTGGGTTAACCATGTCTTTAAGCAACAACCAGAAAATGTTGTTCTCTAAACAAATCGATCTTACTTACTTGTAAAACTAAATGCAGATCCGTCAACCCATTGAAAGTGATTCTCGTGTTTAGCGTCAGTTGCACCAATCCAGTAGAAATATTTTCCGCTACTAAGGTCACTTAAACTCTCGTCAGATTCAACTGAATCACCTGAACTGAAGTCATGTTTTTCCTCTCTAAAATAAATCGCAAAAAGAGAACAACAATTAACAGAACATTAATTTATATCAACATCACCAACTAAAAGTTAAACAAGAATCTGAACAACAGATATTACCAGAAATCTCATTGTTAATAGAAAGGGATATTTCCTGTATCTTGGCGAATTTTATGGCCATTAAAGTAATCAAAGGAAACAATGAAAAGAAAAGCAAATTTGATTTCTTGTTTTACCAAAATATAAATCAATGATGGAACCAAAATAAGGTGAAAGAAACAATGAAAAGCTCAATGAAAACCTGTCTCACCTAATTCACAATTTTCATCAATAATAAATAATATTTCAAGTTACAATCGGAATACAATACAACCTTTGGAAAAGCTGTTTATTATTGAAACTCAACATTTTTACCCAATGCTCTGAATACAATATAACAATACAATTTTTATGATCAACAAATGTATACATTGGTTGTAATGTATCAGTATGTTAAAGTAAGCATATTTTAATGATTGTTACACAGAAATAATATTTTATAATTCAAGATTTATTCAAGATTTACATAACTTTCTTCCTTCCTTGTAATAATAATGATACTTGAAAAGCTATCCAATTGTAAAGTCAATTCATTTTGCTTACTTAACCCTTTATAACGTTATATTGAACCCAAAAAATGATGATAACCAGGGAAGTTTCCTTCCAAAGAGCTTGTCTAAGCAAAACTAAATGTAATCCAATAATTGAACATTAATTTGAATGAAAGAACCGCCAATTTAGATACATTTAACTGCTAATAATACAAAGTAAATAAGATGAATCTCAATACAAGAAGTATGGAAACATTGATTCCTCAAATTTCTCAAATTACAACTTATTTACTCTGAACAAGGTTCATTGTAATCATGTTTTCATGGGAAAATAACTAAACTCAAGACATAAGAAACCCAAAAAAATGAACAATTTCCGCCATTCGTGAGACTCTATTGACTCTACTTTGAACAACAACCAAGACAATCGGATTCATCCATAAAATAAAAAGACTAAAAGCAATATTAAAAAGGTTAAGATAATAGTTTGGTCCGGAAGAGGAACCCAAAAATATCCATCAAAATAGTTTGACATTTGGTAAGACTGAGAGCCTAAAATTTATACCAATCAATATCAATCAACATTTACATGGAATAATCAATATTTTTGTTTGATTGTTGTGAAAGTGATATTTTTTCTGGTAAAGAAAATCAATTTACACAATTATCAAGCAACAATTGAATAACAGCTACAATTGATCATTTTACAGATCAACAATTGAACTGAGCAAATGTTTGGTTAAACTAAATAAACAGTCAATTATTATGCATTTCAACTTGATTTACAATCATTTCTCGTCTAACCCAATGTACACATTTTGGGTTAACTGAATTAGCTTCATTAACCTTTAGGTAATCACATTAATAAATTGCAACAATTGAAGGTAAAGAATCATTTAATGAAATCAAAAAGATTGACTATTACAATGTTTTCAAGTATTAGTAAATAAAAAAGCGATTCACCAAAATTTTAAAAACCAAGTTGATTCCAATCAATTTTTCAGCCTTTTTCAAGTGATCATCAAACCTTCCTGTAATAAGGTTCACTCCCTTCTTCATGGAATCAATCTTTGCAGAAAAATTGAAACATTTTGAAGTAATTTGCTAGAGAAGAGAAAATTTCTTCTAATTTTTGTTCAACACTAAAATTACCAGAAACTTGATTCTGGGTCCAGCACTTGTTTCTTTTGAATGGCTTTTTGGGAATAAGATAATGACAACTCTTTCAGAAGCTCTTATTGATTGTTGATGTTGGTAATCTTGTAATTACAATAACAATCAATATGGCAACTTGACTGGGAATTGAAATAACTATCAATACATGTTAAGGAAGGCAAAAAAGCGTTGAAATAATCATTTTGGGTTTAACCATTTAGCTTCTGTGAGCAAAGGAAATATAAAAACATTAACTTGAAATGAAAAGAGTTACATTCAAGAATCAATCGGGTAAAGTGTTTAAATTGATGTAACCTAAAGGTTGTCCAATGTTTTATTCAATGTCTAAAACCAACAAAGTTAACCAGTTAACCAGTTAACAGAGATATTTACCAGTTTTTTTTCAAACTTCATTTTTCTGCTCTATTGACTAAACATACGTTAAGGTTATGGCAAAAAAAGATGTTGCCTTTGATCAACCTTTCAGTCTTACAATTACGACCAATTTAACAAGCAAAGGGAAAAGCTTACATTATTTAATGCAGATTAGTGCAGTTTCAATGATGCAAACTGTGAATTATAATCAGTTTAATGTAACATGATAAATGCATTGAGGAGTTAAGATGATAATGAAAAGGCAGGGAAGGAAATAAAAGGTAGCAAACGAAAAAATCCAACCAAGAAACAAGAAAAAAATGATTCTACTAAAAGCTGTACAATTTACTGTACAGATTATTCGCCATTAATAATTTGAATTGCATGAAATTTTAATCAACCCTCTACTGTTGCTCATTCTGGTCCGAGTTGATATAAACCAGTAAAATCAATACTAATGATATGGCTTATAATATTTACTTTGGTGTAACACAAATGTATCATCATTACCAGTTTAGGTAAAGAGTGAACAAAAAGAAGAGTAAAACCCTTTTCTGGTTCACTTTTTTAACCAGATCAAAAGTAACAGTTGACAGTTAAATTATTAACTTGGTTAACACAAAAATGGTTATAACATTATTTCAACTAACCAATGGTCTGGACAAAAGCAACGTAAAACATTGAGTTAATTAATTACTTTCAATGTTAACACAGCTAACCTTTCACTGGTTTTCACCTCAACTAACCTGAACAATATTGGGTTCATTAAAATTGTTCAAATTGTTGAAAGTAAATACTTTTGTAAACCCTGAACTCAATGATAATCTATTAATAATAAATGGTTCAAATTGTTAAACTACAAATAATTTATTCTCTTCATTCTCATTTTACAATCAATTACCCAAATTTACAGACAAAATAGATTGAATAAGCGTCCTCATTGAATCAAGATGACATTACAAAAGTCTGCTTTTCAACTCGATCAGTCCTTTCATCATATCTAAATAGTCATAATAGCAATTAACCAAATTTCACTCATTTGGATGTTAATCACGATCTGTTTCAGGATTAAGTTAATCGATGTTTGCTGTTTCGAGGTTTTGCTTCTGACTTTGACTTTCAATCTCTTCAACATTTCCCTTGTAAGATTTATTTTGCATTCATTTTGATTCCATGCAATCTTTTTTCATCATTTTGACAGGGAAAACTGAAGACCAAAAGCCGAGAAAATGTGTCAAAAATGTTGATGAAACTTTCAATGCTTGTGATACAATGATCAAGAAAACCTTCATTGAACTGATCTCAATGTTTCAACTGTGTTTTAAAATTCAAACATGCAACCAGAATAAAAGACATTTTTGCTTTGTAAGTCATTAACCAGAAAACCAGAAAATGTGTTTCAATAGCAATTGTCGATTTATAATTAGTGAAACTTGTCGATTGAAAACTTGTCAAACTTGAAAGATTGTCTAAATGTCAACGAGTTTAATTGTTGATTGTGATTGAACATTTAAGTAAGAATGTGGAAAATAATTTATAAATAGAACGTCAAATTTGATTGAAATGCATCTTTGCTGGTTCCTTTGAATTTTTAATGTAATTTTTAGATTCCCAGTTGAGATTGAAATTGGTTTTCAAAGTTTTTCAACTTTTTTACTGAGAATCTCAAGATTGAATGGGAAAAGAAAAGGATCAATATTTTTAGGTGAAAGTAAACATGAATTGAAACAGAAACAAAGGTTATAATACATTTCACTGTCACTTTCTTTATACTGTATGCTGTTGAGAGATAGAAGGAAAAAGTTGAGTGCAAAATTATTTCCCTGAAGATTAACTTTTCAGTTTCAACCTTTTCAGATTGACAAAAAAGTAAAGTCAAAAACACCAGAAAAAAAACCAGAAAAAGAACCAAAAAAGCAGTGCAACTTGAAGATCAAATGGTTCAATAACAAAGTTAACATGAAACAATTTGCAACATTAAGATGCCAATAAAATTTGGACTCATTTCATTTTAATCATTGAATATGATTCCAACTTGAGAATCAAATTTTTCTGTTTACTTTTCATGGATAAACCTTTTGTGTCTCTTCAATGGATACACATTGTCATCTTGAAAGGCATTCATGATGTATTTGAAAGCAATAATTTATGAGAAGGAAATTCATTTTCATTACATTCTCATCATGAATTCACATTATAAAGATGACGATTTTCTTATTCGTGGATATTTTCAAGGAACAACCTGAACAGAGGAAACCATTGATAATGTTAACTCCATTGTTACTTGGAATTCATTAGGAACAGATAATGATATTTACAGGATAAAGCTACAAATGTATTAAAGGCTAACTTCATTTTCAATGTTAAATATGTTTCCATAGGAGAAAAGGTTAATAAGATTTTCTTTAATCTACAGGTTTAGTGTTGAGTGTTCAATGTTATTTCAATTGGGATTGAATGGTTCAACAAAAGTCTATTGAGATTAAATTTTGTATTTTCAAGGCAAAAATGGTTATAATTTGCTTTGATCAGCTTTAAAATTGTTATTTTGTTAAAGTACCTGTTAAGCAAAGCATTTAAATTGAAAAACATTCTGGTAATGTTTAAATTAAAATAATGTTTTCCCTTCAAGAGCAATATTCAAATGGTTCAATTCAATTGTGCATTCAACACTTTCAATTTACTCGGTTCAACCTTTCAAATGGTCAATTTAACAAATTAGTCATTTCAGGCTTTAAATTAAATTCAAGGGAAACATTGAGCTTTCCAGTTTCTCATGAAACACACATTTACCAAGAATATCAACCTTTTCATGGATCGATTGAAAAATTGAAAACAAAATCCATTGAATGCAAATATTCAATTGTAATCTGTTGGTCAAGTTAACGTTTAAATTGATATTCAATTCAGTTATTCATTTATTAATCGTTTACAGTTGAATCGCCTTAAAGTGAACCTAAAATGAATTTTTGCCATTAAATAAATATTGAATATTTTGCTTCAACTTAACCGAAAAGCCATTTTTTGTTGCAACTTTCAGGTAAACAGGGAATGAATTGATATTGGAAGGAAAAAAAATGAACGAAAAAAGCTGATCAAAGAAGAGGTATTTTCAAGTGATCATCATGAAACTGGATAGTTATAATAAAACTGAATGACAGGAATCAGAAATAAAATGAAAAAGCAAACTTGAAACGTTTTGAGAAGAAGAAAAATTTCGGAGGAAAATTCATATTTCTGTTTACCTCACTCCCTGTCATGATGACAATTGCTGTCAACAATTTTGAATTGTAAAATTGCAACATGAATTAACAGTAAAAGTAGGAACTTTATTGCAAGACAATTTAGACTTGAATTGAACATTTGATGAAAAAATCAATATCATTGTAATGATTAATAAGTCAAGGAAGCTTTCAATACATTTCTTATATTTTCATCATTATAATCATTATTGCCATTGAGAGTTACAATGATAATGATGGAAACAATTTGGACCCAAAAATTTACTTTTACCTCAAAGCTAATTAACATGCGACTGAAACAGTTTAATGATGATAGACAATGAAAGTGAATTAAGAATTGACGATTGAAACAGTTTAATGAATCAATCAATTTTTATAGTGAAGAGCAATTCTTCCATTAAAAGTCAATTTGATCAATCGAAGAATCAAGACTTTTATATCAATTTTTCAAATGTCTTTTCGATTAAATTTTCACTCAAATCTATTCCATTCCGTCCTGGATTTATCTGATTTCAACTTGCTAGAGACATTTTTGAAAAACAATGAACAATTGATTTTGATTTTTACCAGCATTTTGTTTCAGCTTTTCAAGGTAAATATTGAAATGCAGATTCTAATAACATTAATGTTAGTAAATTATGGTTAACCTGCAAAATTAATGGCTAATTTTGACACTTTGTTTAATTTTTACCAGAGTTTGTTGGTTGAAAAATGGCAAAATTGGGTCAGATGCGTTTGATTATTCAATTAGTAAATCATTTGTTTTTATCAATCATTTTGTTTACTTCTACCACGCCTAGAGTAACTGTTATTATTTATTTCATTTTTTATCATGATAATACAATAATAATGGCAACAATGTTAACTGGGAGTGCATTTAATTCATCACAATTGATGGACAACTCCCAAATTATGTTGCTTTTATACACTTTACTTACATTAACTTTGTATTATTTGTTTTCAGATCCTTTTTTCATCTATTTTATTGTGCTCCATGAGTAACGAGCGTTTACAGAACAAAAAAGTGTTCAATCAACAGTGAATAAAACTAAATTATATCATGATTTAAATGATTAACTTGGTTGATTTAGTTGATTGATGGTTGGGTTTTCTGGTTAAAATAAGCCTTTAACACAATCTTAATTAACATACTATCCCTCAACTTATCCCTCCTTTTTTTGCCGCATTTCTGGTTCTCCCTTTTTAACTGTAAAACGTCTGACTTAACTGTTTTTTTAACTGTGTTTTTTTAATTAATTAAGGTTTTTAGTTTAATTCTGGTAATTTATGATTATCAATTAGGATGTTCTTTTCTTGATTTGCCATGATTTGCCTTGATTTTTGGTGCTAGCCTTTACTAGCGTTTTTTTGTTATTAGATACGTCGTTTGGTAATTGGCTTTCCATGTGCAGTCAATGTGCATTCAACTCTTTTGGATCAATGTGAGTAACATTCATCTTATTTTTTCAAATTTAGTGATTTTTTTATTTATTGTTTTAGACTTAATAGATAGCTGTTATTATGTGCTTTATTGGTTATGTTGAAAAATCATGCAAATCCATTAAAAATATGAATCGATTCACCCAACGATCCAACGTGATGTTGGTTGGTTAAGTTCAATTCATACGGGATCTAGGATTACCATTAGTGTGTTTTTGCTAAGCTAGTTTCATTGCTTCGGATGGATGGAAACATGGATCAATCAAGAAATTTCACCTGATAATGAACAATCATTTTCCAATGCATAATTCATATGCATTGATCATGGAGAAGGAATATTGCGTGAAGAAAGCATTTTGTTATTTTCATACTTAAAAAGCATTTTTATTTGCTTCTGATTGAAAAAAAGAGTTCAGCTTTACAGTCCAGGTTTGTCTGATTATCTAAACATTTAACAGAAAACGTTTCTGAAAATTGCAACCATCAATTTAAAATGTTTCCAACAATGCAACTTTAAGATGAGAAACAAAATTTTCTCATCGGCATGCATCTATTTTCCTGAATTTAAGTTGATTTCATTCGATCATTTATTACAGATTGAAATAAATGTGAAAATGAACAAATTGGCAAAAGATAATTGGATGATTGATGATCCCATGTTTTGATTTAAAGTTATCATGACTAAAAAGGAGAAAGAGGTAAAATAGGAAGAAGTAAAAAATATCAAATAATAAATTGACATTAACTGAATCAAACTAGAGGAAACAATCATAATATTTGGTGAAAAAAAGTAGAACATCGATTTCCAATTGAGTAAATTTTTTACTCAGACTTTCTGGTTTACCTTATGTTATTTTTCATTCTCTTCCTGTTTATCTCTTCACCATTATCATCATCATTCCCAATCTTCATTGTCTTCCCATTCAGCCTTATCTCTAGCTTAAAACCTCTTCAGTTTTATGTTGTTTTTTGCCTGGTGAAATATTTATTCCTTGTTTATAATAGAAGTCTAATCTGTAAATCCTATCATTGTTATTATGGGTAAAAAAGCAGAAGAAAAAGATGATGAAAAGAAGAACAAGAATTATCATCATACTTGATTCTTTTGTAATAATATTACTCAAATTTGTTGGTAATTTATATCAACCGGGATCATCATATATCAACAATTGTACCAAAAATGCTGATCTAAGCACTAATCATCAACAAAATCATTGATCTATACTAATACACATCTGATTGTTCAATTCATTGTTTCTGTAAGATTTAAGGATTTAGCCCTTCATCCCACTATTTATATTCATTTCCTCAATTTGGCCTCTTAATCGATTGTAAATTGTCAACCATTGTACTCAATTTATCCTCAAATCAAGCCACTTGCAATGAACCTTTCAAAATCAATCCGGCAATAATGCGAAAAGCAAACTCCAAATGCTTCAAGATTAAACTTGCTATTGACCATGTTATTAGCTTTTCATTAGAATTTCATGTTATTTTTCTTTCCTTTCAGATTCCTAATGAATAATGTTGAAATTTTGTTTTCCCTTGAAAACAACGTTACCCAGGAAGAGACTGTACAAGACTGGTTTCCAAATCATCCAATGGTAATACCATCACCATTTATATTCAGTTTTATCTTATTTACTCAATGATGAAAATTTCAAGCCAACAAACAACATTTCACTTTCATCTTTTAACATGTTTATCATCATCTTTATCAGCAATACAGAGCTCAAGGGAAGGAATAAAAGACAAGAATCCAACATTCATCTTTACATGACATTACTCATTAAAAACATATTCTTCCAGTATTCTCATCAACAAATGCATTCAACTTTTACCCTCATCATCATTCATCCTTTGAATATTATTGAATATTAACATGTTCAGGGTGAACACTTTTCCACGTAATCTTGAAATCTTTCATCATGAGCTAATTCAAAATTTTTTTTTTCCTTCCTTTTTCAGCTTCAATCAATCTTTTTTCATATTTGATCAACTAAGGAAGATCTGCACAATCGCCTGTTATCGATATTTTGGTAATCAATTTTTAAACTGAATCAAAATTTAATGCTGATTATTGATACAACACTTCGTGAATGAAGTAATTGCAGATTCAAGTTTGCCAAAAAGTGGATTTCATGGAAAAATTTCAACAGGCGATTTTCCCTATTCATTTGCAGATCCTTCTTCTGAAAAAGTAAGGAAACGAAAATAAGAAATTCAAGATAAAGGTTGAACATGTTTAGTTTCAAACTTAACCATGAAAAGAAACAGCTTTTGAAAGTTCACAAACAGAAAGCTACAAAAAACTTGGTAAATTTTAAGATGAATGTTCAAGATTTGGTTCTTGAAAAATCACTCGAAATAATTTCAATTATTCTGTGAATAATGAGTTACTTGGGTTCTGGCTTTTTTAGAGTTCAATGATGAATGCCTGAATATTTATGCATAATAATTTCTACCTCACATTTCTAACTAATCTTATATATTATCATGTAATTTACTCTCAATTAACTGTTGATATTCTTGCTTTGTTTTCCTGTGAAAACAAAAGGTAATATTAAAAAAATTGAAGGAAAAAAAGATAAACTGAAAGGAAAAAAACAAAAAAGTAAAGGTTACACCTCATTAAGCGTTTACTTATGGTTGCCCAAATAGCATATTATAAGTAAATAATGTGATATAATGTGATATACATATTGGTTGAACTCTGATGAAAGTTAGATCAGCATTATAGTCTGTTTTCAGAGTTTATCATGGATTCTGTTGACTGTAAACAGAAATTTTGTTTTGTATCTTTTGAGCTTTAAAATGTATTCACTGGGTAAAAATGGTAGTTGAAATACATTTACCGTTAATATTTTATAGTAATGAAGAAATAATTCACCTATTAAAGTTTATTTTATGGCATTAATGAAAGATTTCAAATGTAATAACTATTTGTTGTGTTATAACTTTCATTTTATTTTCACTGCTGGTCAAGTGATAATTTACTAACCTTGAGATTAGCTTTTCAATCAGCTTTTGAATATTTTCGTCTGTTATTGAAACAAGATGACCCTTGATTGAAGTTGAGGAACATATTGCTTCAGCTTCTGACCATGTTACCAGATTATCAGTGAAAAGCTTATAACAGTGGGAATCAAAGTGATACCAATCAGTTGATTGATGAGGACACAAAAGTTTGGAGCCAATAAAGGTTGAATATGGTAATGCTGAATATTCAAAACAAAATTCTGGACCAATTGGATCGTGATCATGGATTTCTAGAGGGTCAATGTTGTCCTCTGTGGAAGAAGGTGAGGTTGAAGCAAAAGTTGTAACAACAGATACACTAACTGAAGATCCAGTTAAACTGATTGCTGGTGGACCCGATTTAGGTCCTTCACAAATCAAAACACTTTCAGATAAAGTAGAATTACTTTTGATTATTAGGTGAGGGCGTTTGGAACAATAAGAGGTTGATTCTGAAGATGTAGATCGCCTTTTATTGAAAGCTTCTTGATCCGTAGATTCATTGGCAATATAGCTTGATTGTGCATATTTAACATGATTTTGTTCATCGAGACCATGATAATTGTCTAAAACAAGGGTTAAAAAAGTTAATTCAAAGGTCCATGGAGTTAAATTGGAGGAAGTAGTCGATGGTGACAATGATGGCGATGATGATTGATTGATGTTATTGATGGATGGTGGATAAATTGTGAGAAGACAACTTTCATCCCAATACTCAACAGCATGGTTACCACTACAAAAAATAGATCTGGAGCCTGAATCGGATGCATAAAGGGTTACTTGAGGACATTTTTCAATGGGAATGGCAATCATTTTAAATCCAAGTGAACCTGTTGATGAAAGATCTGTATGAAAGTGGATTGACAAATTTTCATGCAGAGAAACGATTTCACCAAGAGATTGATCACTGCATAAGTTGATTGTAACCATTGAAGTGTTGATAGATGTAGCTGATTGCCGTGATTGTTTATCTTTATTGTAATGCTTTGCTGGTCCTAATGTAATATAATCTTTTTCACAACCAGAAAATTCTGTTGGACCATCTAAATCATTTGTACTATCAAATTTAATCAACCAATGGTACCCAGCCAAACCGGTAACAGTGATCCAACAATCAATCCCAGGTGGATATGTATCAGGATAATTTGGAGTATAAAGGGTAAGATTGGATGAATTGGATGTCCAAACACGAGTATAATTACATTTGCTCGGGTGTAAATGTAATTTGTGATCTTGTAAATTGTTATAATGGGATGAAAATTTGGTCTCGTTATTTTCCTCAAACAAAATTGGACTTATTGGTGGTTCAATATTTTCATCAGTTTGGCTATTATATTTATTAGGTGTAGAATAACTTGACCCAGTATCTTTTCCTTCTTTGTCTTCTTCTTTATCCTCTTCTCCTCTTTTACCTGCTTCATCACTATTGACATTATCATCATTATCTCCACTATCAACACCTTTTCCTACTTCCCTTCCATTTCCATCCATACTTGTTGATAAATTTTCGTCTTGAACTTGATTATCTTTTGGTGGTGATTGTAAAGGTGTGATCGTCGATATTGAACCAGTATGAGAAATGTAAATTGTTTCCGATCCAATCGGAAGAGATGTTGATGATGTTATTGGAATGGCCAGTAAAAAGAAAGGTAACAAAAGCAATAATAAATGTATAACTGGTAACAACATTTGACTTGTGTTAATAACATTGAATAGATTAACTGGAGTTAACTTGTTGGTTGTGTTAATCATTGAAAAGAGCACTGGCAATTAGTGAACTTGGTTTCCATAGATTTAACCCAAAATGTTGGCCACCAGAAGAGACGCAAAAATCATCTGCTTAACCAAACAGAAGGGTTGAAACATGAAGCACATTTTGTCGACCTTTTTACAACACTTGCACCATTTTAACTGCATTTTGGCTTTCAATTAAAGTTGGACAGTTGAATTAACAAGCATAATATATATTGGATATTTAGACGTAAATTAGATTAATTAACAAAAACTTGGAGGAATCAGTAAACCGAGTCCATAACTTGTTTATTAAACTTTGCGTTAACATGAGAATGACGAAAGCAAAAACCGTTAACAAGTGTGTAGCAGAAGAAAGAGCACAAAATTTGAAATCCCAATGGTGATGTATTTACCAGATTTACATTGAATTTATCAATAAATTTAACACTCACATAATCAACAGCAAATTAATAATTTCGCTGTGTGTAGATATTTATGACAAAATAACAGTGTAAAACCAATATCATTAATCACTTTGAGTGTAAAAAAGCAATAGTTGGTCAGTAAGTTGATTAGATTTAGGTTTGGTAACTATGGGTTACGTTGCTTTTTGATAAATACATAAGTGAATGTTATATTATTTTATATTATTATTATCATTGTATATTATATTATTATTATCATCATCATCTCTTTAACCATATTTTTTGTTCAGGTAATAAAAGGTAAAAATAATACTATTAATGGTTGAGAGTCTTTTTTTCCAGTGGTAAAGTCAAAGTTACAATGCAAACGAGTAAAGTTTAACTGACAACAAAAAGTGGAAGGAAAAAAGTAAAGATCAAGAAAAGTGTATTATTTTCATTTTTGTGGGACTAGATTTTGTTCATCATCATCATCATCAAGGGAAACTCATTTCATGTCTGTTCAATTGAACAACCCCAAAAGTTCTGTGGGACTTGAACAGATAAAGAATGAGAAAGTTCAACTTTTGCCTCTTCATGAGTCTGTCTATCAACAAAATTTCATCTTTCGAGTTACCTTCTTTTTATTTCCCATTGAAGTTGCCCTGCGCTTGACTCAGCTTATTATTGATCTAATGCTACTTGTAGCGGCAAACAGGTAAGCTTGATGAAGATTTGGAAGAAGAAGAAGAAGAAGAAGAAGAAAGGAAGAAAAGGAAGAGAAATGAGAGAAGACGAAAAAGTAAAGACGAAGAAGATGGCGAAATGTTGAATTTTACCTTGCATTTTCAGGTTTACTTACAATTTGGTTTATCACTCCACACCTTGATTCATCCTTATTCACCTCACAAATAGTTTACCAAATTACAATGATAATAACAATTTTGATGGCATTTTGTTGCTTCTTCAATGCCAATCAAAACTGTATCTTGAAACTGTTGGCTTAAATGGTTTCAATTTTTACAGCTCACAAATCAATGAGCCAATTCAATCTGAATTCAAGTTGAAATCTTTTCACGATGACCTTTCAAATGTAACCTATTCAAAGTTGACTTTTGAAAAGGCCTAAAAAAACAACCTAAAAAATACAAGCTTTATAAGTTTCCAGCAAAAAATTATCTGAAAATAATTTCCAAAAAAAAGAGGCTTTGCTTTGACAATTTTTTCAGCTTTTCATGTTGACTCAAGTATGCATAAAAATAATGTAAATAAATGGTGAAACTTGATTTTAATTTACATTGGTTTACACCTTTACTTGGATTTGTTGAAACTGTTAAGATTTGATTGTTTGTTCATATTGATTTCAACTGAATTCACTTGTATTCCAATTGCTCATGGTCAAGTATTAATTGAAGCTGATTGAGTTAAGATGATTGTATAATGATGATTACAGCTACATGATACATTTCCTTTACCTGGATTATATTGATTTTATTTTCACTTTTCTTCTTCTTCTTCATCCTCGTTGTTTTTACCGTTGAAGAGCCAAGATAAATGATGATTATGTTGTTAACCTGTTTAAAACCACTACAATTGATCAAAGTAAATGAAACAAGGCAAATCTGAACATTTTTTAAGTCTAATCCTTTGTTTTGTATGGCAAAAAAGTCAGAATTATTATCATTATCATAATGATGTTAATCACTTTATTGGTTTTATTTAATAGTCTAATGTTGGGACATAATAATGAAATTGAAACCCAATTTTGCATTCGTTTTATCTTCATAATGATTGATCTAAAAGTATTGCTTTTCTTGCACGATTCAAAGCTATGAGTTTGAATGATATCTTCAATAACTGTAACATTGAAATGTGATTGTAATCATTTAACTAATTGTTTCAACTTTACAAAGATTTCGACCTAAAAACATTCAATTCCGGTTGAGTCTTTGTTCAGTTTGAGTTCAACTCGTTGCTTTGGTCGTCAATTGTGATTACAATTGTTGGATTGCTAATGAATGTTTCAGAGTCTAGTCTTTGACTGTCTTGAAGCAAAGTTCAATGGGTATCATCAGGTTATCTTAACAAAAGTTACTTTTAATACAATAGCATTGTTATGCTGAAAAAATCCCTGATTCAAGTTTACTTCCTAAACCTCTGAGTTTCTTATCTTTCAAACTAAATGTCTTGATCCAAGGTTCAGTGAATCAAATTATTTGGGATGAAAATCAAATAAATACATTGGCTCTATTAGTGTTAAGTATGAGATCCTAATAAACATTTCATTGCAGTCACTTTGAGACGACATTCAATGAATGTTTTCATTGTGTCCAGATTTAGGAATGATGACTTATGAATATATGATGAGCAGGAAATGAAAAGAAAGGAGATAAAAGCATTGATTGATGATAAAATTGAAACAAATGGACAGTTAAATTGAATGAATAATGTGACTTTAGGCTAACCAAGAAATGCTTTTTTCCTTTACATTATTGTTGTCTCTTTTTTGTCTGTTTATATGCTGTTCACTTTAATGTGTATTGATATGAAATGATATGGAAACAAATGATAATATGAAAAATATTGAACATGAAAAAGGTGAAATGAAAATATTGATGAAAACGTCTCAAGATTGGTGCATTTTGTGTGGTTACTGGATGATGAAAAATAAATGTAAAATGTAATATTTGTGGACATTGAAATGAATTTTTTTGTTTCTTTTTCATGGAAAAAATATTTCATGTTTACTTTAAAATTGAACAAAAAAAAGATGACTGGCCATCAACAATACAAAATAATTGTCAAAGAGATACAAAAATGTCTCATCAATTGAAAAATCCAACAAGTCAACAAACCAATTATCTGTTCATCATCACATAAATCTGGTAAAAGATGGGTTAAACTGATGGTTAAACATTAATGATGAAAGGTTCATTAAACAAATATCATCTGGCTCATTAAATTGTGACAGTTAAGTTAAATGTTTAAATATACTGGGCCAGTTGAAAGTATAAAATATTAACAAAAATGGGTTCAATTGTTTCACTTTTCTCATCCTTAACGTTTTCTGGTTTTGTCCATTTTCATTATTCATCAAACCTCACCTTTAGATGGTCAGCTTTTACCAACTTTGGTACTTCAAAAGTGTTGTCCATTTGTTATAATTAAATTATGTTTAGGTTTTAAATTCAACTGAAGGGACATTAATCAAATTATCAAAAATTACAAGGCACTTTATGCAATGTTGATACAATCCCATAAAGATGCGTTTCTTAATGTTTTTTGCCTTTCATTTACAAGACATTTTTAATTTCTGGTTATTTCTGTGTTTTAATGTTAATAGATTTACTAAATTGTCAACAGATTATTAACTGATTGTTAACCAATTGTCAATATTGAATAATACCATTGAATCTTGACTAACCGAGAATCAATTAAGTGCTATGTTTAGCTTTTTGTCTGTAATCCTTGATCTTTCATTCAACATCTGTAAATGGTCACCTCGTTAAATGATCCTTGCATGTTTTTATTGTATTTGATTGTTTACCATAAGTGGATTTTATTCAACTCTAATGGAACCATTAATGGTCAACTAAGGACTGACCAACAAATCAACAGAAAGTGAAAAGAAACCAGAAAGTCATACTTATTATCAAGGGCAAGGCCTACCATATCAATTTATATTGAAATATAAATTTTGGTCTCTGGTTGTCAGAAGAGTTGAAGTTATGAAACCCAAAAAATTGATGATAAAGAAATGAAAGACAAATGTTTCAGCTGTCATCAACATCAACAATTTGTATTGTCTGAGCAATACCTTGATTGTCATCTAGCTTCATATGTAACTGACAATCTTTTACCAAATTATAAACATTTTTAACCTAATTTTTGGTCCTCTTCAATCATTTCCTTCGGTAATCCTTTTAGTAACCTATTTATGATCATCAAAATCAGTCAACACCCAGAATTAACTTAATCTTTCAACAAATTGAACCACACAAATAACAATACAATAACAACACTTGCAATAATCTACACTTGCATACATTCGCTTATTTGCTTTTTCAGAGATTCGTATATTTAGCATTTAATATTTAATAATTCTTTGATTGAAGTTTATGTGAATAAAGATATCATGGACAATTATTTAGCGTATTTGGAGTTTACGAACGCTTATGTTTTTAAAGTGTTTTTCGGTTTACATCTGTAATTTCTTAAAAAGCAGAAGGAGTATTTAGGTTCAAAAAAGGATTTTAACTCTAAGAAATCAATTATATTCTTCCCATACAATCACGGACACCATTTGTAAGAATCTTCACAATCGATTGATACCAATATTAGTTGTAAACTAACGATTTCATTCAGATTGATTGTCTGGAACGTTTTGCTGTCATCTTGTAAGCAATGAATGGTAGTAATAAGTAATAACCAATGTGACAGAAGCTAAAGCTTTCAACTTTTGGATTTCTTATTCTGACGACGGTTCTTTTATTATGAATTTGTATCTTTTCGATGTCCATTGTTTGCAACCTATTCAATTCAAAACTTTACGTACGGTCTTTTCGCGTCAAATTGTGGCTAAAATTAAAGGGTTCTGCATGATATTGTACGAACTAATGATTGACTTCAGTGACTAAAAATAACCTGTGCGAGAGTATTTCTAGACAAACTATAAAACCATTTTTTTAACTAAATATATGTTCAATATGCTTGAAATTTTACAGGAAGGATTCAAAAAGGCTTATCTTTATCCATACCAAATTTGGTCTGAATAGCTTCATTAGTTTACGAGATTTTTTCATTAATTTAGTGCGTTTGACGCAGCTCAAAACCTTCAATTTTGGAAGGGCCTGAAAACGCGCAACTTCAAAGTAATACAGTGTCAATTGTATTGCACTGATTCTTCTTTTTGAAACTTCTAATGATTACCTGAAATCTAAAGTGTATGTTGGTGCTTTGTTTCGGCTAAATAAACGCTCCAATCAAAAATATAAGCAAATTAGTAAAAAAAATTTTAAACCCGAAATTTAACAAGCTTAAGAAAAACATTAAACAAAAAGTTAATCTTGGCTGTCAGAGTGATTTTGATAATTTGCGGTGAAAATACTGATTTTGAGCTTTCGAATGATGTATGAAAAAAATTATATATGACATGAAACAATTGTTAAATTTTATCATGAAAAAATTGTCTAGAAATACTTCCGCACAGGTTATGTTGAGCTTTATTTTTTCAGTCTCATGACGTTTTGGTTTCTGTTGGAGGATTAATAAGTGCCAAAGTGGCTTCGAGTTAAGAGTGCTCATAAGTCATGTCGAAGTTTGATGAAGTTTTGATTGACCATAAAACGGCATCTTTTTAGTGAACTTGATTGGCTCTTGGTAATCAAAACAGTTCATATTGCTGTAAGGCCAAAAAAGATCAATAACTTTGGGTCGCACAACAAATTTAATAATTCAATTCAATGTTATTCATTTTTGCTTTCACTTGGTGGCAATCAATTTCGGTCAAAAATTGCCGAACAATTGAATTAACATTCTATTGAACAATTGTATGTTTTGTTTTCATGAAAATAGACTGAAAAATCGAAGAAACTGGACAATTGTTAGTTATAAATGATAATGTTTCTTTATTCTGTGTATCCATAGTTTTCATTGATCCTTTTGTGGCAGTGTTTTTGAACAAAAAGCCATTGGTGTTTGCTTACCAAAGCAAACTCACATCGATTGCTAGATCAACAATTTGATTGTAATGAAGAGGATCATTTCCGTTCAAACCTTAAAAGTCTCAGATAAAATGTCTAACCCAAAATCTCTAAATGAACCGAACCAAGTGATCTTGGATGGGTACATTTTGCCCTCGAAATACATACTTGGACCAGCAACTAAAATAGTACTCTTATTGACCGTAGCTTATGTTTCAGCTTATTATGTCTCATACCTTACGCTTTCTCTGTTCCGTACTTGTAAATACACGACAAAGATGGTTATATTTATGTGTGCACATGACGCTGTGGATGCATTCACTGTGCTGTGTGCTGGCTTGGTGATCATTTTTGGCACCAATATGGAACACTTCAGAAAATTCATTTCCACCATTCAACTGCTGTCCCTTGAAACGGACAGATCAGCAGTTCGAACAATTAAACAAAATCGTATTATTATTCATGTTCTTTTGCTTGTGATTCTCATCTTTTTTATGGGCACTTTCTTTGTAAAAGAAATGAGTTCATCAATTGATACCGTAAAGTCATTTGTATTCATCATTGATTGCATTCATCGTTTACTCTACAGATCTGGCATATTATTCACTCTGAACATGATTTGCAACATTTGCTGTTGTCTAAAGGCTGCTTTTAATCAGATCAATACACAAATTACCACCCTGAATACAACATCAGATCATTCAAACGACCATTTATTCGATAGAATCAAAGATTTAAGGCAAAAGTATAGTTACGCAGTTCGATCGACTCAAAGTGCTGAGAAGTTGTTTCGATGTTACATTACAATATTCTATATGCAATACTTTTCTTACGTTACCATGAACAGTGTTATGTCATTTGGACCAGAGACGAGCATAGATCCGTTTTGGTTGCTTTACATATTGCTTGATACAATGCATTTCATCATTTTGACTCACCATTTAGTTTCAGTGAGCAATTTATCTCGTGAAGGATTGGAAGACTTGTATGAACTTTCGTTCAAATTAAACACGGCCGAATCACGTCATGAGGTGAGCAAAATAAAATTGTAGTTCATTGAAATGATTGACTTTTTACTTTTCAATTTTTCTCTTAGAATGACATCTTTATAGCGCGAATGGCACTCAGTGATGTTGGCTTTACTTTTGCCAATCTCTTTACCATAAACAACAATTTCATTACATCGTTATTTACCCTCTCATTAACCATCATAATTACCTTAGCAAGTTTCCTTTACCAATGAAAGTTAATTGTCTTTGAGAATTAAAATTTCAATGAATACTGAACACGCACTGAAACTCTGTACGAAAATTCACTCCATTAAAATCGTTCACAATATCGGAATCTGAATAAAGTTACTTTTCAAAAGATCAATGAGTAAATTCAATTTTAATGCCACTTTAGAGCGACTTAATTTTTAAAGTTTACACAAATAATGATTTTGTTTTTCTCATAATTTGGGTTTCAATCTTGTTTATATTATTTTATTTTGGCTCGTAAATTGGTTTAGTTTTTTAACTGTGTTCAACACTTGGCTCAACTTTGAAAATTCATCATCATTAACTCGTGAACTGTTTAATTGCATTCTTGAGACACTTTTACCTGGACTTTTCGAGTTGAACTTCAGAGTTATGCTTGATCACTCAACTTGAGTATCTTAATTTTTTTTCCTCTGTTAATTAACAAAATATTATTTTGCATCATCTACTTTCATCATTATTCATGGAGAGAATGTGAATACTTAAGAGAAGTATGGTGAATATTCATTGTAAACAAGGATTAGTGAAATTCCTGAAGGACTATGTTGTCTGCTAATGTATATATGACTATAATTGCATAACGATGTCTAACATAATCTACATTGATTAACAAAAGATTCATTATTCATGTTTTCAAGTTACATCGCTTGATTATTCACCTAACAATTTGTCAGCATAAACCTCGCTTCCTAGCTCTGTATTTTATCCAACAGCTGTGCAAGTACTGATTAATTCTGATATATTTATGCTCTGATTTTCAGGTTGAAATTGGCAATCGAGAAGATGGAGTCATTTTGATCCAGTATTTGGTGATTCCGATGAAGGTACTAGTCATCTGTGTCCATTGGATCAAGTATGGCTGTTGGCTCTCGGACAGGCTGAAACTGACTTGGAATCCTTTCAATAATGTTTGTCATCCTGTTTCTGTGGCTAATAAATTTCATGGAAAATGATTAATACATTTTTGGCTATTCTCGAGTTTCAATTTGGTGTCAAAAAAACAATTATTAACCTCAGTGTTGATGATCTAATGTTAAAGATACAAAAGGTAAGTTCATTTTGTGTGTTTCTTGTTGTTGATGTATTTCTTGTCATCCCACCAACCTTGATCATCTTTGCAAATAACTTTTCATCCCTTTTGATCATTATTGTACTCTTTTTTTATCATCAACATTATCATCATTTATTGTACTCATCATCATGACTCTTCAGGGCCCTATTAAGGACATAGTATTACTTAACAATAATAAAAAGTCTCAAAGTGAAGGATTTACTTACAAGCAATTTCAATCGATTGGAATCTCTTCTTGTTTCCTTTGTCTTCTCCTTCTTCTTCAACAATCTTTTATTCTGCTCTTCACTCAAATTCATAGCCAAGATAAATTAAGGTAAAGAAGGTGAAATGTTAGATGATGTTGTTGATGATGATGATGATTGCCACTTCCTTAAAGCTTTCCTCTCTAATATTGTGTACATCATCATTCACTAGGGAGAAGCTAATAAACGGTGAAGAAAGTTTAATTTTACACCAAAAATGTTTTTACTACTCAAATGATGAATCTAGTTTCATGCTTAATCTAAAAATTGAATTACTTTCCATTTTCATTTGTCAAAATTATTTGCGAATAAAACATTTTTATAATCATTTCGAATTTGGCGCGGCTTTTGGCGTTTAGTCTTTTAGCTCAACAGTTCATTAGCTTTCTTTGGCTTTAGAATATCTTGTTGTTTTTTCGCGTTAACTGTACGATCTCATCATTTTTTAATTGTTTATTTATTTGTTTAAATTTGTAGATTGTTGTAATTTGTTATCTAGTTAATAACATCATGTTTTCACCGATTTCCTCGCTGCGTGATGGATCCTTTCTTACTGGCAAGCAATTAGTTAACAAAATACGAGAGTTTAAGGAGGTGAGTAATTTTACTTTTCAAACTTCATTAACGGTGATTGTTTTTATTTTATATTTTGTATTTATTATTTATTTTTTGCTTTTGATTTTTATTTAAATAGGAACATAAACTCAAGAAGAATCTCAACGTTTCCAAAGACAAAATAATAGTGCAACTTCTGGGTGAAATAAAGGAGTTAAAGTTGCAAGTTGAGTCTAGTGATTACAAGCTTAGTCTCAATGAAGATTTGATTGCTTCACAAACTTCAGTAATCGAAGATTTAAACACCAGAATTGAAAGACAATCCTCCAGGATAAAGGAGATTGAGCAATCTTCCTATGAAAACCAAAATTCTATCATTTCTAAACAGTCAACAATTTCAAGTTTAGCTTCTAAGTTGGATGAGGCAAAAAAGATCATTGATGATCAAAACTATGCTCTTGAACAATACAAGGAAAAAATGTACAACATGAAAACAGAGTTCGAAAATATAAAGAAAGCTTTAAAAGAAAGATATTTAGAGAGATTGGAACAAGCCGCCAAAGAGATGGAAGAAGAGCGAGAAAAAATGAATAAAAAGTTAAAGCAGACCAGAGAGTTTTACGAAGCTGAAGGAAATGACTATAAAAAACAAATCAACCAACTAATTGAGGAATTGGATCTTCTTAGAAGGGCTGATTTCAATATATCAAAGCCAACGCCAGCGAAAGGTCGAAGACGAGGTGGCTTAGCAGCCTCTAGAGATTTCAGTGAACTTAAGGTTCGAAGAGGTCGATCTCAAGCTGCTAAAGCTAAAAAACAAGACAATTCAAAACCAGGATGTTCTAAAGAAACTGTTGAAACATCAGAACAAGAAACAATTGCTGGTAGCAAAGAGTCGCCAGATAAAGAGGAAATAAGATCATTATCCCCAATGGCGTGGTTGTCTCCGAATCACTGCAGAATAGAAGACGACGACGACAATTTATAGATTGAAAGATTCCCCAAAAGGTTCAGTAATTCAAATCATTGTTCTTAAATTAGAAAATTTATTAGAAAGCAAAAAATTGTTCATATTCAATAAAATTTGTTTGAAAAATGAAATCTTTTTTGAATAATTAACATTTAAATAACATGAAAGCAGAAAAAAAATAAAAAAACTGAGTAACGATGAAATTAGTTTGATCTTTAACCAGTTTTACCATTGAGGGATATAACCAATAACATGGACTAGTCTGCCTAGCCACTTACTAAAGTCCGGACAAGCTAATTGAGGGCCATGGGAAAGGCCTGGAAGGGCCCAAGATGAGGTGTAAGATTGTTAGAGGGCATTGACATTAGATAATTTTTGGGTGGAATAACAAGTTGATTTGACCTTAACCTAGAGAGATCCCTTCGGGAAATCATTGAATAAAAGATTGATAAACATTTTTAAATAGTTAAAAAGCATCAACAATCAAGAGGCAAGAAAACTGGATTCACTCGGACAGGTCTTTAAATATGTAATTTTTTCAGTAAAAAAGAGAGAGAAAGAAAGAGATACTTATACACTGTATAAGTGATTCACTTTCTTGATAGTGAAAGAAGATTGTAAGATGAATTGAACTTGATCATCTTGTATTTTAGCAAATAGTTCACGGAAGAGATTCTTCATTTTTTTCTGCTCACTTAAATGACCAGAGAGGAAAGATGATGATGATAATTAAAGAAAGGGCAGACCCCGAACTTGTCCACCCTTAGAAAAGATATTGATGTTGCTGATGACGATGTAGATGAGGATGATGATTACCTTGTTTCACTTTTTTTCCGGATTCTCTTCTCAATTGCGTATATATATAAAAGACTTGATTTCTGTTCAATTTTGATCATTCTTTAGTTTCAAATCAGTCTGAATTTTTGGTTCACTTTTTTGTTATCATTATTGGTTATTACAGTTACCAAATTTATCTCCTTGTTTCTCTTGTTATCCAATTAAAGTGACCAAAAATGCATATCAAATATCTTTTAATTGCTTGTGTTCTCATCTTTGCTCGAGCTTCCCTTGCCTCTGAGTCTGCAAGACGAAAATCAGAAGATGAAATGTCAGATAATGCTCTCAGTTATGACCATAAGGATGTTTCCAATCGATCAGGTTTCATGTCACTTATTCAAGATGCCACAGTTCCAACTTTTCTCGTCATGGGTTTAGCAACAATAGCTGCTGCTCTTAGTAGTGTAAGTATTGAAATATTTTTTTCTTGTTCCACCATCAATTCAATAGCTGAATTTATCTTCATTTTTTGCCTCGTCTCATCTCTTTTAATTAGTCCAAGACTGAAGGTAAATTACGTGTAAGACGATCACCAACAACTAACTGGTCAAATAATTTGCTCAAAATTCTGGGTAATGTACAAAAAGCTGTGGAAAAATATCAACAATTGGAAAATGAAATTGCCAATGAACTTGATGATGATATGGTTCGTGATTTCTCTCCTAAACCAACAGAATAAATTTGGTTTAACGTTCTCGTTATCTAAATATCATTACTCAACACTTTCATCATTGCCATAAAAAGTTTTTTTATACATAATCATTTATTTATTACTATTGAACGTTTATATTTTAAATAAATTGAATTGTTGACGCATTTTTATTCTATATCTGCGAAATATTGATCCAGAAAAATTCCCTAACCAGTATGAAAGTTGAGTAAATTGAAGAGCGTAAAATGCAAAATAGCGATCTGTTAGCTCTTTTACTCGGATTGAAATTAATAAAACAAACAAAATATCACCATAAGTTTGTTTGTTTTTCAATTATTATATTTAAAGTGATTGTAAACTTGGTTATTTATCTAAAAAACTCGTTTATAATCAAATTGTGAATTATACAAAATGGTATAGATAAGGCGGTGTAGTGAGACGAAAAAATTCAAGAAAGTTAACAAGGTCAAGAAAGTGAAGCATTATACAGCTTTGGTTCTCTTAGATATGGATTGTCTAGAACTTCAGATTCAGTAGTATTGTTTTCACCTGCGGCATTTGACTTTTCACCAGTATCACCTCCTTGTGCTTCATCTGATGTTGACGTTTTGAGTGATTTTCTTGGTGATTCTTTTTCTTCCACAGTACTGTCATCTTCGTCTTCGTCTTCAAAAATTTGATCCTTAGGTAAAAGTGCCTCTAAATAAACATTAGATCTTAATTTAAGTTCAATTAAAGGATAAAGGTTAGTTAGTTGTTCATCCGGGAAAAGCGAGTGTGACAATGAGTTTTCTCCTGTTTTGGCCATAAATCTGGTTAATGCTCTTTCAACATCACGTTTCTGTGTAGCTGATTTTTCTCTGATAGCTTCATACTCCGTAACAGGTTGTTTGTAAGTAGGAGTTCTAATATAAGCGTGAGCATCTGTTTCATGTAAAATAAAGTGAGGTAAATTATTAGAAAAATAAAAGATAATTTAGAATGAAAAGATAAAGAAAAAGAAAAATCAATCAAGATTCAAACTTTTCCTTTTTTAAAACTGAAGAAAATGCAAGCTTGTAACTGTTTCCCGCGTAAATCTAACACTCGATAAAATTAAATATCATAGAAATCCGGGCAATTTCAAGCTATCTCAGTTAGTCTAAATTGTTTTAGAAATAAAGTACCTGGAAAGGAAGGGAAATAATCAGGAATGTATGGTGGTAGAGGTTTCTTTTCTCCCGCTTGTAAAATCTTAGGAGTAGGTTGACTAGGCGCTTTCCCTGGTGGTGGTAACGCAATCCTCTCAGATCTTCTAGCATAATCAGGAATAGAATCCGATCTTATCCCTAAACAAACCAAAGCTATGTCAATGTCAGCAACATTTGGTTCAGTTCGTCCTCCGTGTTCACAATATTGGCGACTGGTCCGTCCAATCTCAAAAATCAATGCTTGTAACATCTCAAGAAGAGATTCAACTGCCGGTTTTTCAGCATAAGCGAAACCATTTTCACGACAAATTGCACAGATGGATGAAAATAATATTTTGCGTCTGACTGAACCATCCATATTTAAACAAATGTAACCTATCTACGAATAAAGAAAAATTGTCAAGATTAAATCACAGTTGGAGAAAAGCGCTGTCAATTTAAAATCAGTTCCACAATCACAAAGATATCACTTTGAACTGCAATTCACTCAAATAAAGACATAATTTTGACATATTACATTAAAAAACAGAACGCATAATCGGATGAAAGAAAGTTGTCTTACCTGTGATGATTATTATTGTCACACTATGATATAAATGAAAGACTGGTACAATAAAAGCGACAAATCTATAATTAAATTAAATAACATAGAAACTCGTTTTATTCATAGTGAGAATTTCTCACAGATTGAAATAAGTAACCAATAGCTACCGATGATTTGTATGCAACACAAAACCGCTAAATTCGAAATTATTCTGAAAATTGTGAAAATGTAAGCTTTTAATTAAAATTATTTCTATTTTCAGAAAGAGGTCATCAAGAAATCGAAACATTGAAATAATTGAAATAATTTAATCATTTTGAGTTGACCAACAAGTTTATTCAATTTCAAATTGGCAGAATGATTCGAACCACTCATAGTCACATTAAAGAAACTTTAAAAATCTTCAATACTAATTATCATACAGATAACACAATGCTGAAGTTAACTGTTATTTGATTGTTTAGAGCTGGTGGAAGCATTCGAATCTGATTCGATAGCTATTCTGGCAACCTTGCGAGTTTCTTTCACTTTAAATTCGGGACACATCATCTCAGTCCATGATACTGGAACCATTAAAACACCTAGAAAAGATAAAAATTTTAGTTGAGAGCAATCAAGATATTAGCTGATGAAATATACCATTTTCACTACGAGCAATAACCACTCCAAACTCATTGGATGCTGTCGACAGTAAATACCCAGATTCAGATAGTCCGATGATTTTTGCTAAGATAATATCGCCTGGTCGAAAGCAAGTGTATAATTCAACATTATCTTTATCAGTGGCACGCACATCTTCCTTTCGTATTATTGCCTTGAATGGTTGTTTCAATACACTGTCAGCGATGCATTTGATTAAACATTTACATTGATTGGACACAATTTTTTCTACTTGGCAGGTAACTACATCACCGACTTGGGGAATTTTACGGACGAAATTGCCATGGGGCATAACTTCAAAAATGTTCTGAAAATAAAATTTTAAACAAGAAGTCAATATCAAAAATTATAATTCATATACAAAATAATAAACAAACCTCATCTTTATTTTCAATAATATTAACTTTACCCGCGAGAGCAGCATAAATGTAAGATCCTTTCAAGAAAGTGCCTCTACCTCCGAGATTTTTATCATCAGCAACACAGAGACGATCACCTATCACAAATTTCCAGAGCTGTTAATATTAATTATTACCAAATTAAAGTAAAATAACTTACCTGGAACACAAAACATGGCAATAATTTCACTCAAAATGAGACTCATGTGTTCATTTAAACATTGGAATCAGACAAAATATCGATAAATATCGATATTTATCATCGATAGCGATAACATTGCTCATCTTGGATGTTTACACATTTGTTTTCACTGGTTTTCATCAAGTTTTTTTTATATTAATAATGGAGTCACGAATTCTTTTAGAATCCACCTCAGTTAAAACCCCGTTCAGGATTGATGGTCGCAAACCCCACGAAGTACGTAGTTTAACTTGTCGTCTTGGTGTTTTCCAGCAAGCTGATGGATCTTCATATGTTAAACTCGGAAATACACAAGTATTGGCCACCGTTTATGGTCCTCATGACACTCGTGGTAAAAGTAACCCAGAAAAGTCGATAATTAATTGTAAATTTAGGTTGTCAACTTTTAGCAAATCTACAAGGAGAAATTTACACAGGGATATAAGATCTATTGAAATCAGCAACAACTTGACACAAGTATTTGATTCCGCTATTTTAACTGAATTGTATCCACATTCACAAATTGACATTTATCTTGGTAAGTATAGTAAATATTCAAACTAAACTTCTCCACAAAATTCATTGAGTTATAATAATTTTCTTAATTGCTACAGAGGTGGTTCAATCAGACGGTAGTGACTATGCTGCTTGCATTAATGCTGCTTCATTGGCTATAATTGATGCCGGTATCCCAATTAAGGATGTTGTATGTGCCTGTAGCGCTGGATTCATCGACAATCAACCAATTACCGATATAAATGCTGTTGAAGAATCTTCAAATGGTACACCTATTCTTACAATTGGTATGCTACCAAAAGATAAACAGATACTTTCAATGGAATCAAGTGGCGGAATTCATCTTGATAATTTGAATGATGTTATGGATGCAGCAATAGAAGGTTGCAAATCTGTTTTATTTATTATGAAGCAAACAATCCTGAATCACATTCAAGAATTGAAAGATTAATAAAATTGATGTATTTGTTTAATAAAAAAGTTAAAATTATAAAATAGTACGATTGTTATGCTTAACGAGTTTATTTAATCAATCCTATTTTACAATTTGTTTTGCTTTTAGAAAGCACATGTTTTGGCTTAAACCCAATTATTAATACCCTTAATGTAGTTCCACTTCATCTCCCTAGATGCCTCTGAAATATAGAAACACAAAATCTTTCAAATATTGCGCCTTACATGCTCAATAAAGACATGTTTTCAAATAATTTAACGGAAAAGTTAAAAGTTTCGTATCTTAATCTGTTCCAGCTTTTATTTTTATTATTATATTCAAAATGATTGATCATTATAATTCATGTTTAGCCAATTTTGAGCAACTGTTAAACCATGTTAGCGAGGAAATCCCGACGGTCAACCATGATAAAATGAGAATAAACAAAGCCACTGTGCAACATGATATTGAACAAAGTAAGAAATATTTTGTGTATTTTTTTCTTTGAATTTATTTAGTGATTTTCTTTATTCTTGCCATCCAGATTTACGAGAACTTGCTAAAACCTTCAAAAAAGTCAAAACAGATTTTGAAAAAGCTGAAAAAGAATTGAATTTGAAACAACAAAGTGTGAACATAATAAAAAAATCTGATGAACAACTTGAACACCGCCTGGCTCAGAGAATCGAAGCTTTTGAGAAAAAAGTTGCACGGGAAAAAGAGAAGAAAGAATTGATTTCTTCGGTATTCACATTCACCGAGGATGTTGGATTTCATTTTAATGTCTGTCAGTCAGAAAACGAAACAACCGACGAAGAGCCATCCAAATTCAAGATTGGATTCTCACATATTGATCCTGATGATGCAGAAAAAATCTTCTCCGTAACAATTGACATAAAGCTTGGAACGATCAAAGGTAAATGTTGATTACATGAATACGCTTCAACAAACGAAATTAATGTACTTTTTTCTCTTTTCTAATAGTTCTAGAAGTTGATACTGCAGAGGAGGAATTCAAAGAACTTGAAAAATGGTTCAATGAAAAGTTCGCCGTTATTAATCTTCCAATTTTCGTAAACAGAGCTCGCAAAATTTTCTTGAAAATATGTAAAGGAAAAAATGCTAATAATCAATAAAGACACGATTGTTTTTAAATAGTATGAATACAAAATTTTCATTTATTTTTATTCTGTTCTCTCTTCTTAGTTTTTGTTCGTCCAGAAGAATTTAACTGAATCGTCTTTGGAAGTCTGAATGAGTTTGTTTCATATAACTGTTGTCCTAAATTTGATATTTTTCTCGTTTCCGCTTTGACATCAACCCATGGAATTGTTAAATCAATGTGTTTGAAAAAACTTCTTGATGGAAAATAGTTGGTGGTTTCCTCCACATTGATAAAATCAGCCATTTTAAGTTTCGGGGTATTTTCATCACTAAATTTCTCAATTTCACTCGGTGTATTTGCTTCTTCTACTTCAATGAAGAAATTTTCTTCTGGTGGCATATCAAATACAAATTCATCTCCACTAGATTTTTTTATTGCATCACTTTTGGTTTGTTGTTTGGTGAGAGTTGAACTTTTTTGAATAATTTCTTGGGATGGATTTTGAGTGAGTTGCTTAAAAGTTTGAAATAATGGATGGCACAATGATAATGGGTCTTTGACTTTCTCTGTTAAACCAAAACAGGCCAGTTTCGAAATCCCTAAAATATTGCTCAAATTATCCAAGTTTTTTGATATTAAATATGCAACACCAAATTCTTGACATAAATCACGTAGAGTGGCTTGTAAATGAATAGTTAATGGGTCACTTATAACAACACCAATCACTAAATTTCTTTGAATTTTTCTCATAACTTCTGTAATTCCAAATATCAATTCATCTTTGATAGGATTCTTACTTTTGGCTTCTTCAACTTTATCGTTATCAGCTTCTTCTGTTGTCGTCACTTTTTCCGGTTTCTTAAATCTACCAAAATTAATCAGAATATTTAAATGAAATAAAATCAAATTTTTTGTCGATTGAATGCATAATTTTTAATTGTTTAAGTAACTATAAATACCTTTGATTGTTAAAAGCACATTCAGGATGGTTTGAAATGAGTCCAGAGAAAAATGAGTTGATTTCTTGTCCATCAGATTGTTTAAAACTAGTCAGAGTTTCACCCTCTTTCCCTTGGAGAAATGTTATCTTTCTAATTTTCTTAGATTTATTATTTTTTTTAGTTTTGGAACTCATATTTTTTTGATTATTGAAATAGAAAAATAAAGACTAAAACAATAAATAAATTGTTAACAAGATGAAAACAGAGTAAAAAAACTACTTTATGTAAACAAAAACATGTTTTTGAATTTTGCTAAACACATGTTTTGATCCGATAACTTAAGAGTAACGATAAGTATCGAATACTTGTGCGTATCTTTCCAAATCGAGCGCGCTTATGGAATCTAAAATTCAAGATTCAAAATTGACTTTGAATTTCAAATTCGTTAAATTAGCACCCTCTGAAAAAATCTTGAACTACATTATCTTGGCTTGGAATATATTTCAAGTACTCAATGTATTTTAATTGCAAAAAATCGGTTAAGTTGATGAGTTTGAGTACATAGGAAAGTACTCGAAAATTTCACTAATCAATAGCCTAGACAATTAACTTTACAAAGATATTAGTGAATAAAACTGATTTCATAGTTGAATCAGCGTACAATTTTATCGAGAATTATAAGATTTTATCACTACAATTAACTAGTTTTATACATTTTTGAAAAATGTAAATAAATGACATGCAAATGCAGGCAGATTTGACTTTTAAAAATTTATATTGAGTAACAATCGCAATCACCACGGAATTATTTTGCCGTCGAAGTTAATAATTTTGCCATTGGAGTTTTTATCAATTGAGCCGAGAGTTTTTAGCATTTTTGAAACACTAAAATCAACTTTCATCGGTGCGTTTTTACCTCCCATATCAGTTTTGACCCAGCCAGGATGCATGGATACACATAAAATACCTTCCTTCTCTAAATCAGCGGCTACGCTTTTGGTAATCATGTTTAGAGCAGCTTTACTGGTTCGATATGGATACATTCCACCTTGGTTATTTTCACTGATGCTACCCATTATTGCACTTATGTTAACAATTAACTTTGATGTTTTTTCTTTGTCTGAAGCTTTGATTAGAGGAAGCAGGGTTTTGGTGAGAATTAATGGCGCTACAGTGTTTACTTCAAGACTATCCAGCATATCTTTAGGTGAAACTTGGCTTAAAGTTTTGAATGCAGCGACTCCGGCATTATTAATCAGTAAATCCAATCCTGTTGTACCAACTATTTGATTGACTTCGGTGGATAATTTATCATAACTCGAAAAATCCCGAACATCGAGACGCACAATGTGTAGGTTATTGGTGACAGAGGTAAGTTTCTTCAATTCCTGGTTAAAAAGGAGTAATGATATAAATAAGCGAGATTGAAAACGTAAATATAACATTGTAGGATTGAAGAATGAAATAAGACTAAATTACCTCAGCTTTATCGGGGTTACGGCAAGCAGCAATCACATTTATCGGTTTAGGATCTAGATTGATAATCTGGCGAACGATTTCCAAGCCAATTCCACGATTAGCCCCAGTGATGAAACATGATGTAGTGCGAAGCATGTTTGGTTTATTTAAATATGTATTTAAAAACAAATATTGAAACAGTTACAATTAGGAATTTCTAATTAAGAAAGGTTAAATGATCCTGCACACATAAAATAAAGAGAAAACAAAATAACGATCAGCTGTTTGATGTTTATCATGTCATTTTAACTTGTTATGGAATCTTGCAAACCTTCAACAGACAAGAAAATAGTGATTTTTTATACTGTTACAGTGAGAAGTTCTTTAATATAATTTTAAAAAATTCTGATTTATCGATCAGATAGTTTATGGATAACAATTTTGACAATTGCGATGATTCTTTTTTGGCGCGAACTATTTAAACTTTTGAAAGCATAATTCTTATTTTATCACCATATGAGATCAATTGAGAGTTAAGAACACATCTGTATACAAAAGGGTGGAAATATTGTTCAATTAAAGTAAGAAACATCATGATTTTCAATTTTTAGGTTGCAAGTTATTGAAACTTGCTATACATTTAACTTTGCCTTTGAAAGTTTTTTTAACATTTATGCTTTCACTTGTTGAATCAATGGTTAAAAATTCAATTCCTTGGACCTCTCCGTTATAAAGGCCTCTAGAATAAACTGTTGAAACACTATAAGAGATTAAAACTACATAAAGACTAAGTTTCCGTTGAATTAGAAATTCCATAAGATCTGAAATAAAAGAATCGTCACAGTAAATAATGACCAACTTGAGATTGATATTAAGAGCAGCTTGTTCCATAAAATAGCGGTAAATGGATACTGTGTGAGAAAAAGAGAATAGATAAGTTTAAGATTCACTAACAATCAAAAATTGACTTTCCACAGATCAATAAATTTCAAATTATTTATGATTTGGGAATGATGAAATTTTCGGTAACTTACTCAATAGACTGAATGGATCAGGTTCATGAACCATTGCTATACTTTCAAGAGTGGTATCTTCAGATAAAAAACTTTTAAATTTTGCTATATTAAAACAATTAAGGCCATCGAAGATAATAATTTTGTGTTTACTTTTACATTGAGTCAGTGCTTGCAGTTGCTTGTTGTTTTCTTTTGATTCTTTGGTTGCTTCAATGATTAATTTATAAATGTAACGATTAATAGCTGGAGCATTGTTGACTGAAAAATCAATACAGTAAAGTCCGAATTTGTCCAATATTTTGTCGATTCTGTTATCTGTATGACACACTGCTAAAGACTTTTGAGTAGCATTAACTCTCAACAAAACATCGAGGAAACTTTCACTCAAACCAGAGTGGATTGGAGATTGTTTGGCCCTGTAACTCATAGTTATGTACTCGAACAAATGTAACCTATCTCCGAAAAAGAACCAAAGTTCCAAAGTTGAATTACGGTTGGCAAAGAGCGCTGTAAATGTACAAACAGTTCCAATCACAAAGGTATCACTTTGACCTGCAATTCATTGAAATAAAGAAATAATTTTAACATTAATAAACTGGATGAGTAATGGAATGAAGGGAATCTTGGTTGGTTGTCTTACCTTAAGTTTATCATTGTCACTGTAAGAAATACACGAGAAACAATAAAGCGATAAATCTACAATTTAATTAATTAAAAAAACAGAAACTCATTTTAATCTTATGGAACTAAATAAGTAACCAATAGCTACCAATAACTTGTATGTAAACACGACCGCTAAATTCGAAATTAGTTTAAAAATTATGCAAATGATCCAAACTGCATTAAAATTATCTCTATTTTCAGAAAATACATCTAAATCAAGAAATTGAAACATTGAAATAATTGAAATAATTTAATCATTTTGAGTTGACCAACAAGTTTATTCAATTTCAAATTGGCAGAATGATTCGAACCACTCATAGTCACATTAAAGAAACTTTAAAAATCTTCAATACTAATTATTATACAGATAACACAATGCTGAAGTTAACTGTTATTTGATTGTTTAGAGCAGGTGGAAGCATTCGAATCTGATTCAATAGCTATTCTGGCAAAACGAAACCTCAATTTTTCACTTTCAAAGTCTCAGCTAGCTTTGATCAAAGCATCAACGCTAGCATAATTTACGGCAGTTCAACGAAATGGTTATTCAACACATTGTTAGCGATACATTTGATTAAACATTTATATTTAGTGGAATTATTTTCATGTATTTGGCAAGTAACAATTTGACTGACCAGGAGAGCTTTACTGACAAAAATGTCATTTCAAAAATACCATTTTTTCATAACTATCCAAGTTGTCAAGTTTTACAAGTTGTATAACCTAATGATGAGTTTAATAAAATCACTGTAAACTGTAATTAGTTTCTAGTTTGTCCGATAGATGCCAGCATTGCATTCATTAAAAAGTGAATGATTTTGATTTATAAAATTAAATCAAATCTAACTTTTCAGGGAAATCAATGAATGACTGAACCAGTTAGTCTCGTTAACTTTGATTGACTTGAACATAATATTCACAAGTTATAAGGATGGAAAACTAATAAAGATTCAACTTGAATAAACTGAATCTAAAAATGGTGGACTAATCATTCAATTGGTAATTCATTGTAAAGCAAATATTTACTTTGAATATCCAGCCATCACATCTAGAATTTAAATTTCATCAAAGGTAATGTTCAATGAAGCAATGTTACCCATGAGAAATTCAGTTCATTGATTTCAAAAAAGGTAATGTTTAATGAAATGGAGCAGTAAATAATGCAATGATATCAACACGAACAATCTCGAGTCAGTTGACCAATATGATTGACCAATAGAAAAAGATATTAAAAGGAAAGAGAATGAAATGTTCATTTCGTGCTGCGGACTAGTTCTCTAGGCGGAACTGCAAAAGTGATTTATTATCATTATAAATTGATGATAACTTGAAGAAGAGTCCAGCAAGAAACTGACCCGACAGAATATTGAATCATTTTCTTTGATAAAAGTATACAAACACTGTAACTGGTGCAGACAGGGAAAAAGATGATGACAAAGATGAAATATAAAATTATAAAGACAAGGAAGGGAAGGAAGAGCAAAAAAGAGCCCAAAAAACATATTAGATAACCAAGTTATAACTGAAGCTAAAATGATGATTATAACATTGAAGATGATTACTCAGTGTTGTGTAAAAAGATTTACTAATAATATTAACAATAATGTAACATTGAGGCTGAAAAAGAGTCTCAACATTTAATCCTATTGGGAGGAATAATCATCTTCATCTTCATCATCAACCCAATGTTCATCATATTTTTAGACTCAACACTTGAAGCAAACAAAACCCTTCACCCATTCATACTGAGGTTTAACATTGAAATGACTAACCAACAATCAGAGCTCCAAGAATTCAATTTCAACCCAAAAACAAGATTCTCAGACAATACAAAAGTAATGTAAAAGTACAAAATTAAGATTCTCAGCCATTGAAATGATCACCCGACTTATCAAAGTCAAGTCGCAATCAGCTTCGAGTAAAATGCCATTCCAAGTGCAAAGCTTACATGCGACAATTGAGATTCATCTTTTACAATAATACTGCAAAACAAATGACAATTTCAGTTTCAATCAACTTTTCAATGTAATTTCAAAGTTAATTTCCAGTCGAAGCCATTAAAGATTGTTCAACTCTGTTTTATAAATGAGTCGAGATTGAATGAAAACCAAAAATAATGTCAAAATGGATCAAAGTTTATGAGATTATAAATTGTGATCAAATTGTCATCGAAACTTGAAACAAGAAATAAAAACATTTCCTTTTTTTACTCTTCATTTTATCGCAACATTATCATTGTCTTTGTCTTTGAAACGGAGATAAAAATGAGTTGAAATGGCGAAGAGGATAAGATATTAAGATGAATATGGTTCAAGCTAAATGCGGAAAAAGGTTAAAAATTGAAAAGAGGAAAGAAGAAAATATTAGTTGAAAGTATCGCAAAATGAAATTAAACAAACTCCCAGCAGATTAAACGAGAAGTTAGTTTGTTATTTACAATAAATCATCAAATAATAATCTTTCTCCATCAAATTTCAACAATGTTTCATCCCATTGTGAAAATAATATCAATAATAATAAAAATAACAATGACACTTGAGCCCTAGAACTGAAAAAATGGCAAAAAAGTAAAGAATGAACAAAAAAGAGTCAAAATTCAATTCATTTTGCAGGCAACTTATCACCAACAATGGAATCATTAATGTGATTATTATTACAATTATCATCATCTTTACCATTAAACTAAATGTTGAACTTGGAATAACAATTGAAACCAAATTCTTGAAGGGTTAACTTGATTATCAACTGGGAGTGAAGTCAAAGGTTATTGATTACTATTGCTTTTGTAAAGGAAAGTTACAAGAAAACAAAATAGATTGAGTTTAAGATTATTTTACAACTTGAAAGATGAAAGAATTTTCAGAAAGAAAAGATTCAGATTCTGAGAAAGGAAAAGTTTTTCCTGATCAATGAAACAGTTACTGAAACTTGAAAAGTATTCACATTTCAAAGGTTGTTGTTTAATCATTAAAAAAGGTTCAATTGTGTTTGAAGTTGCAAAAGGAGGACAAAAAGAGTATCAATCAAATTAATTTTGAAAAAAAGTAAATTTCTCTTGAGATGAATTAATAATAAAAGTTGAACATTTCAGGGGAAAGAAGAAGTTCAATTAATAACTGAAATTGTCTTTAACTTGATATCGACTGTTGAGTAAATACAAATGATGAGAAAAGTGAAGTTGATGATAAAATGCTGACAGAGTAAAGTTCATCAAATTGTTCATATTTTCTGACTTTTTTTCTGGTCTATTCTCCGTTCATGATGGCAATCTGGATGTGATGTGAATTTTTGTTCAACTTTTTCCTTCCTTTACTCATCTGATCAGCATCTTTGTTTCCCTTGTAAATGCAATGTTAATCATATTCCTTGCCATGCTTTCCCTGAAACCTTCCCTGATAATGGAACGATAACAGATGGAAAAAGGTCAAATAAAGTTATCATCAGTAAAGGTGCAACTATCAATGAATATCAAGTCGAGTTTCAACTTTTCCAGTTATAATGAAAGAAAACAAATTGAACAAAAAAGATTTCACCATGAAACTGAATAAATATTTTCCATCAAAACAAGGAAAAGAAAGAAAATTTCGATGAAAAATCTGGATTGGAAACAATTAATGATGAATGAAGACGGAAACTGAAATGTTATTTTTGGGTGAAAAATGATTCTCTTTCAGAGCCAAAATGATCATCTTTTTTGGTTCCACTTTTTGGTGTTTACGGAAACGGATGACAATCAAGTGGTAAGACAATTAAAGATGGATGATTAAAGGATGATGAGGAAGGAAGATGTGGTTGATGGAGAGAAGGGAAAAAGGCTGTTGTTGCGCTTTTCCCTGAAAATTGATATTAAGTGAATAAAAGTGTGTCTATTGGGTTGAACAGTAAGTGAAACCAGTGATGTGATGGTCATGAAGAGGAATCATTTTTCCGTTAACGGGTCTTCATTCCAGGCCATTAATTTAATCATTTCAATTGAGCAGAAGAAATGATGTAAAAATTGTAATTCTGGCCAACAATGGAAATTAATGTTCAAAGAAAAGTCGCCGAGAACAGAAAAATGGTCAACTTATTGGGACATTATTTTGTTTCCTTGTTCCCTTGTTATTCCTCATCTTTTACCTCCTCCCTTCCATCATCCTTATCCTAATCATGATCATCACTCTCCTCTACAATAGGCTCAATGGTCGGATATGTTGCCCATCCGTGTTGCCCTTTTCATTGAAAAGTGTGAGTCAAAAGAGTCAAAGTGAAAAGCAATATTATTTATGTATCAAGATGGTGATGATAAAAAGATGTATGTGATGATATTAGGGGAAGACTTGAAATGTAACCATTCAATGCTACATCATTATTATCCATCCCCACAGCCACATCTAATCATATCTATCTTCCTCCTTCTTGTTTATCTTCATCATCACCAGTAAACTTTCAAGAGTCAACGTGTTCTCATCCAGCCAAACATATTACATCTTTTCAGTGTGAAAAACAGGGAAAAAACATTTTCTTTGGTTGACTCATCTTCTTAAATCAATTAGTCACCCCATCAAGGCAAACGCTTCACCATATTTTTCATCTTTATCTTCATCTTTATCTTCATCTTCGCCCATCTAATCGTACTTACAGATTTTAATATCAATTCCCTTTGTTATTCACTTTGCCTCAACCTTCACTCAAACCATACGTTTTCAGCCTTCAACATTGAGATTGAGTTTAGAGAAATGAAAATCAGAAACAATGTCAACCCTGAATTATCCTATTAATCTGTTGATTAATTGACTTGAAAATGGGATAAAAATTTCATTCCACTTGAGTATTCAAGTCTAAAGTCGTTTTCAATTGAAATTTCCAATCAAACATAAGTTTAAATGATTATAAAAGCGTGTTTGCCATCAATTAATTTAACCTTTCAAATTGCTGGTAACATTGAAAATCTCGAGAGATTTTTGTTCTTCTTCTTCTTCTCAAAGACTAATGAAACAATTGTAAAAAAAGGCGAATCAATTAATTCGTCTAATCCAATTGATTAATGGTTAGGATCAAGTTGAGACAATTTAAAGAAGCAAATGTTTGTTTCTCAATTTAAATTAGAAGCAAAATGAAACGCAAAAAGGTAAACCAATAAGTTGATCATTGAAGTTACATAAATAAATAATGTTTAGTTTGCCATGTTGATAACATTTCCATCAGATGAATATCAACATTATCAATACATGGCCAATATTTTCAATATCAATGGACAATTTAATACACAATTCAAGGCACAATTCGCGGAACAATTGAAAGCACAATCCAATGTTAATCATCTGAAAATATCTCACCATTTCTTGAGCGAAACACCCTTCAACTTTTATCATCATCATCATTACCATTTGTGGTATTGTTAAAATGGTCAATAAGCATTGACTTTAATGTCCCTTGCAGTTGACTCCAGCATTTATATCTTCATCATCATCTTTTCTTCTTCAATTTAAGCTTCTAAAAATGTTTTTTTTCTCATCATCATAAAGTAATATGAACAAATGTGTGTCTAACAGCAATATTTTGCCTTCAAACAAGAAAAAAGAAGATGAAAAAGCACAATATTTTTGAAAAACTGTGTAAGGTGTAATGTGTCACGCCAAGGCGAAATGATCCCTGAAAGGGTGAGATATAAATAAGAAAATGATGAACATTTTCATGATAAACTTGAACATCTCATCTTTAAATCATCTTAAGAGGTAAACAGCCATTGAGACTCAATTTAAAAGGGAAAATCTAATGTCTCGAATCATCTAGATTCAGTTAGAACTGAAAACAATCAACATTTTCACTTGGCTGTTGACATCAAGAGCTTCAATTGCTACAATAAACTTGTAAATCAATGGAAACCTTTTTCCATCGATTCCAAGAATCAATTTAACCATTTATTATCTCAAAGCAACTTCAAACCAATCTCATGATAATCTGGGAATTTATCATTCCTCTTGAAGAACCAGAAGTATCTTAAATTTCAGGAAATGCCGAGTAAAAATATTCCTAATAACTTTACCAAATAAAGTTCAGTTCATTTCCCTTTCCTTTTCAAATTAACATGAAACAGTGAAAACCAGTAACATTGAAAGTCAAAAATGTAACCCAAAATCTCAACCCAAATGATAATTTGACAAAAAGACAAATCGAGACAAAATTATTTTTCCAACAACTTTTTTTTCAATATTAACTGCATTATAATCACAATGATTATTACAGTTATTATCATCATTATTACCATCTTTTTTTTCCTTCTCACAGAGTAATTCATGTTTATATCTTTTCCCCTGCAATTTGCCTCAACTGTGACCCAACTGGAATAACATTTAACCACATTAATTCACTTTTTTTTGAATAACCATTATCTCGATTCAAGTGTGTTCCTGTTCAAATCTGTTGTTGACATAAAGATGAATACCTATACACATTGCCAGTCATCATCATTATCAGCCTCATTTTATCCGCATCTTTTCCTCTTCCTTCAATAATAAGACAATTAAATGGATTTACGGGTTTTCCCTTTTACTTTTTTTCTCCCTTCAATTCAAGTCACTTTGCATGTGACAAGAGTTGACAACAAATCTTAAGCCAACTCAACCAATTTATCAAGCAATTCAATTCAATTTTTTTGCCTTCTTCAACATCTTCTGTGGGATTGAGATAACATGGTCAAGGGAATGATGAATGTCAAATAAGCTCAAGTCAACCATTTTTGCCTCTTTTGCATCACAAAAAATATCAAACCTCAGAAAAAGAGAAGAAAATTTCACCAACAGAAAAAGTCAAAAAATCAAAGGAAATGAAATGAAGAAAAGGTGAAATCTGAAGATAAAAATGAGGGGAAAAAAGGTTACATTTGCATGATGATGGAACAAAAAAGGTTTACAATTTTATTCGTTTTATTTCTTCTTTATTATCTGTCTGATTTCAAGTCTCACTTTCTGGAAAATGAAGAAATGGGAAAATCTGAAATGATAAGGTTTCAATTAGTTGAGTATAAAATATCAGTGTTTAGTTTCAATTGAACAACACCTTACAGGGTTTTTTGTTTCGCCTTTGATTGACAGTAACAAGAGAAATGTCATTCCTTGTAATAACAGCAATGATAATGATAATATTATTAGTGATAATATTATTATGATTACCATTGAGATTGGACAAGATAAGTTATTAGTTTTGTTTTGTTGCCCATTGAGAGTCTAAAAGGTTAACAAAAAGTGTCAATAACAAGTATTGAACACAACAGCTTTGCTCATCATTAGTAAAACAATTGATCTGATCAATTATCTTGAAATAGCCACTGATGGAAGCTTATTTTGTTTTTTTGTTTTGTTTCATTTCCAGGATATTTTCGTCTTCTTCTTCTCATTCAATCTTATGTCATTACATTAAATGATTGGTATAACAATGGTGATCCTCATCATGATGATTGTAATGAAAAGAAAAGCTTTTGCCAAATTGTATTTGTCAAGCAACCTTTCAATGGGTGATGAGCAATTTAAAAACAATGTTCATGTTGACGATGAAAATGTTTCAATTGTCTTCGATTGTTACTATCTGATTGTTTATCAAAGTCAATTTGCTTCCATTTTATTGCTTTAAACGAACTCTTTATCTTCTTTTACCATTTCAAACGAATCTCTCTCTCTCTCTCTGATCAATAATTTGATCAACCTTTCAATTGAATTTTTCATTTTACTTCAATCTGTTGATTCTCAGGATTATACAATAGTTGAAATGGATTTACATTTCAAACCTTTTTAAGCTATTTTAACCATTTCAGTATTCAATTTACATTCATTGATTGAAGTAGCAAAATCAATAATATTAAAGACTGTCAAGGGTTAAAATGGTTGAAACACTTTAGTTACATTTCCCATTGGAATGGAAATGAAAATATCCACAGAGATTGGGAAGGTTAAATGATGCTGGTGAAGATTCAGGATCATGATGATAATGATGATGATTGGAGGGCAGCAAAGGTGAGAAGTGAAATTGAATATGGAATCAGGTAAATAAAAATTGGTAAAGATTGGTTAACAATTGAGTTGATCGAGTGGAAAGTTAATAACAAATGTATTATGTATTACAATGTAATGCATTATTGTATATTATTAATTGGAAAGAGGTAAGGAACAATAACAATTTTATCTTCAACATTGTAAACCATTTTGCCATGAAATTGGTATAATAAATGAACCAGCTGAGGAACAAGGTTCAACATTAAGAGACTTCATTTGTCAGCTCTGGAGAAAATAGCTTTCTGTGATTTGTTGAGCTTTTGTTTTACTTTTCTCTCTCCTTTCCTTGACTTCCAATATTTTTGGGTTCATCATTTTTCTTCTCATGGTTCATTAACATTGTTAACACACTAACACCTTAACAGTCTTGGTATTAAATATATTGTATCATTATATTTGCTTTTATTGCAAATTATTCATAATAACAATTTGTTGGAATGTAAATGTTAATTGTTGCCTTGATTTCCTTCTCTCTTTTTTTGATGAAAATGGGTTTGATCGGATGAAAGAGTTGACTCTGGTAAAGAGTAAATCAGTTTTTTACACTTTCACTTAATGTCTACCATCAAATTTATGGTTCACTGAATCTGATTGAAATGATTGAATTTAGAATGAAAAATAAACTTGTATTCATGGATGTGCAGTGAAAAAGACAAACATTATTTAGGTTTTGCACTTTATCCATTGGTTAAAGGTAACCCAAAAAGGATCACTCGATGGTTATTACTTCATCTTTGATCAACTTCCATTATCCAGTATATAAGTGGGTAAAAAATGAGGTAAAGCTTCAGTTGAATTCATAGTTGAGCCACTTTTTTTTGCAGTCCTCCTCATCATTATCATCATCACTCGACTCTTTGACAACGTCATTTTTCTTCCTCTTTTCCTTCGTTGCCGTCCACCTCCTCCTACTTCATTTTACCATCTTGTATACTTTAATCTTCACTCTTTTCCTCCTTTTTGGTTTCCAATAATTTTGCTATTAGTTTGAACAATTTCCCTTAGGGTTGGTTGAAGGTTTGCTTCTGTCCATGTTGTTTCAGTTATTTTTTTGCTTTGAAAAAAGGTGTGCGTTGAAATAGTGAATTGTGGTGAAAATCAGATGACCTAGGTTGTGGTTGAAAAGGAAAAAAGATCATGTTAGTGATGATTAAAAACAGGTAAACTTGTCATGATCAACATCATTTGTGGCCTCATTCTCATTGATTATCATCACAGGGGAAACAAGATGAACAAGCAATATTACCTTTCTCATTAAGCTTTCTCTCTTGTTCTCTTCCCGTTCATCTTTTTTTTCAAGTAATCTATCCAATGTCAAATGATTTAGATTAATGAAATGAAAATATATAATCTAGAGTGGAGATGAATAAAAAAAACCAAGGCACCAAGAGGCAACATCAAATGCCAAAGGCGATCGCAGCAATGACCAGCTGATTGATACCATGTAACAACAGGAACATTGGTAAATGACTGATATTTAGCTTTGATAAAGATGTTTTATTCAATTTTATAATATTAATGTTACCATGTTTCCCTGATCAGTTGATTGATACCCTTTAATATATATCAAATGGCAACACAGAAGAAAGTAAAAACAGGTACAAGTATCAGAAGATGAGAGAGAAAAATCACATCAAAATTTGGTTGACAGTTAATTGAGAGGCCATTTTGGTGAAAAGAAGATCTAAAGGAGAAGAAAAGGAAGAAAAAAAAGAAAATTATTAACAAATGGAAGACTGATGACAAAATATTGACAATATCGTAATGAAATGAAAGTCCAACCAACCATTATATCCTTCAATCGTATCAATACATGTCTTCAAATTAAAAGTTATCCCAATTGAGCACCCAAACATTTCACCACTGACTGATTAATATCAACTAAGACTTTTAGAAAAGTAGAATAAGATAGAAACACAATTAAAAATTCAATTAGAACGAGTTGGTGGCAGTAAAATTAAAGAAATTGAAAATTAACGGAATTTTCAGAATGTTTGATTATTAGAACATGAAATACTCAACAGATGGAGCAACGGTAACTTTAAGTTAAAGTTTTGAAAAAGGCGTTTGTTATAAAATTTTAAAATAAAATTCCTGTTCATGGCTTTTCATTTAACTAATTAATAATAGTTGAACTATTCAAATCAATAAGATGAAATCTGATCAATTTTATCAATCTAGATCAAAGTAAGTATAATTTCAATTTCAAATCATTTCCTAAGAGTGAGAAAAAAAAGCTAAAGATGGTTAACCTTATACACTTTGTTTACCCATTACTTCCCAAGTGCTTCTCGATTGTTTCTCAAAACCAAGATTCAATTTCAAGGTTTCATTTATTATCTAATACATATTAATGAATGCATAATAAACATGTTAATTATGACAGTTGATTGGCAAGTTTAAGAAGCATGTTAAATATATTATTTAAGTAGATAGAGTTAACCAAAGCTTTTATAATATATAATGTACAGTGGAGTACCAGATAGTGTCAGTACCAGATAATGTCAGTAGATTATTCAATAGCCCCTCAAACCCTTTGTTTACATTCCCTATAAGGAAAGTTTTAATTGAAATTATAAAGAAATTATCAAAAAAGTTGAATATTTCTGAAAATTCAACTCAACTAACGATCCTCAGCACAATGACATTAATTTGTTAGACTTTTCCAGCAACTAACTTTAATTTTATTATTCATTGTAATTAATTTTAAAATTTAGCTCGATTAATAGACTTGCTGTGCATATAAGCTATTTCCAGTTACTGACAGTATCTGGTACTCCACTGTATGTATATTATAGACAGACACACACACACACTCTTAATACAAGTCAAAGCTAATATACGAATTTTTTGCCCTCTTAGATTAAACCAATTGAAAGGAACAAGAGAACCACCTTATTCACAATTAGTTCCAAGTGATTATTCCGTATTGTGCCAGAGGAAACTGGATAAACCATAAAGAATTAAGTTCTGCTACATTTTCTTTGTGCATAGAGAAGCAGCTTTAAACTGGAATCACATTCAAATTTTTAAAGATTATGAAAGGTTCCATAAAGAAAACCAGATCACATAAAAACCAGGACAAAGTCTTGGAAATCTTAATCAATCGATGTACTAGAAGTTAATTTTCCATGGTTTATTGGCACCAATTTGCAAAACTAATCACAGCTCAAAATATTATGGTCAACCATAAAAAGGATCAAACCTGATGAAATGGATCAACTCAAGTCAAAATTTCAATGTGAATGTAAAGAAAGCTCAATGGATGGTAAATTGAGAATGATTTGTACCAAAAGATGCATTTCATTTTGATGTATCCATTTTTACACCTTCAAATCCGATAGCTGTTCAGTATCATTTTCAAATTCATCATTTTATTGGTTTAAAGATATCTCCATGTTAACATTCATCTTTCCGATTCCATAATATTTGAACACAACCTTTACCTATTCCCGTCATCATCATCATCATCTTATTTATCATCATGTTGATCATCATCTTTATGGTAGGCAACACATTCTTAACCCCAAACAAAACAAAAGGAAAGATTGAATGAAAAATGGTCTCCTTTATTTTTGAGATATTTTATAATATAAAATGTTTTATGTATTATGTATGTACCATTATCATTATAATATCATGTATTCACAATATTCACTTTTACAACAATTCATCTTGAACTTTTATTCAACCTTAAAAGGCTCTCTCTATTGATAGCATTGCTGAGGAAAATGATGGTGATGAAGAATAAGAATAAGAAGAAAAAGAAGCAAGAAAAGGCAAACTTCTTCAGATAACTTTTCCTTTCCTTACCTATTAGTTTTTTTCTTATTCAACTATCATCAAGAGTCATTGGATATCGCCCCGAGAGAGGCTTTTTCAATATCATCTTCAAGACTCATTCTCTCTCTCTCTCTCCTTATAAACACTTTTTCCGCCTTTTCCTCTTTATTATCTTCACCTACTTCTTCATCTTCCTCTTTATCATCCCTTGTTCATCTTGTTTATACTTTATGAGCAATTTCAACTCATTTGATGGACCAATAGGCATCAATAAGCCTCATGAGATGCTCATATGAGACCAGTTTCTTGTTATTTTTATGTTTCTGTTGATCTTTTTTCTTCACTAGTACAAATATAATATAAATATCGCACATTTACCTACCTACCTACCTTTTATGTTTCCTGTTATACATATTTATAATCAACAATATTGACATAACTGACATTACAACCAGCCTGGCAATAAAGACGTTAGGTGTAAAAACTGTCATCCAATGGCTACCATTTTAACAGCATAAAACACAATTGAATGGGTAAAATTAAAAGTACAAAATATTCTCATTACCAGTGGGCAAGTTGTCCATTAAAACAGCCAAGTCTGAATAAAGGAATTGATTCAATTTAACCTGACAATCAAGCTTAACAAAAGAGATGAGAAAGCAAACAAAAAATGTCAAAAGCAAAAAAAACAAGACAACAAAAAAACAACGATAAAAGAGACTTTCTTTCAACAGCATTAATTACAATTCACGGCACAAATATTTTAACTGCATTAACTATGATTGTCCCAATGTGATTAAATTGATGGTTTGATTAGTGGTTGAAATGAAACATAAAAAGCTAAGCTTGAATTAGAGATGTGCGATTATATCAAAATCATCGATTTTTATCGATAATTTTAAGCCGATTTCATATCGATGATTTCAATGATATATCGAGTCGAGAAAAACGCTGACAAGGGAACTTTGTCAACCTTACCTGAGGGATTTTGATCGGACATAGCGCAAATGATAGGGCCAAGCTCCTTTATCAACGGACTGGTGGCTTTTTTCTGTAAATGCAGTGGTTCCTTAGATTTTTGGGTTTAAAGTTGAGGCATTTTTGTTTTAATCAAAAGTTAAAATCCTAAATTTCAAGGTTTCGAGATTTTTTTACGTTTAATTTTGATTTAGTATGCCAAGGAATCA